TAAAACAATATGAGTTTGAAGACAGAAGAATAACTCAGCACATACCAACATGAGGGCACAAGCCTTTATAATGTATGACTTCACTGAACTGCTCTGAAGATTCATTAGCTTCTCGGCATCCTTAAGAGCAAGCTGCAGGAAATATTAAAAAAATTTCAGGGCGAGTCAGAGTGGATAAATGATGCAACTTCTAGTGACAGGTTAAGCAAGTAGAATACATACTTCCCCAAGCATCGACATATCAAATCCATACAGAGGTTCCTCTTCAGAAATTTTTGCAGATCTCTGCTTCAGATCTTGGCCAAATCTATTTAAACAAAAAAAAAAAGCAAAAGGTTGGGAGATGGAGAGAGATAAGAATGTCAACAAGGTGTGGTATTTATAAACTGAGCTAAAGGGCAAAAATTTGTTACACAATCCTATATAATCCTTAATCAAAACAACACGACAACTCCATTGGAAGTAAGAAAGATGATGGGATAAGTTTATGCAAGCTTACCTTATATAAGCAGAACTTCTATTGCCTAGAACAATAGGATTAAGAGGCTTTATAGAATTGGCTTTTGAATAACTGCTAATCGCCTGTAAACGGAAAAAAGAATAAGACACGTTATTGGCAAGAACGAAAAATTTGTCCATCTCATTTGAATTTCAGCATCAAAGTTGCAAACTACCTCGAATTTGCAGAATAATCTATTGGCAAACAGGTCGAGTAAGCAATTATCACAAGTTCAAAGCCAGAAAAACAAAACTTTTCCATATGACTACTTCTACTATCATTCTCATGTTCACCAGAAGAAGCTAGAAGATACCCAATTGACTAAATAAAAGCAGCAGGACGAAGAAAAATGAAATTTTCACCTCTTCAAAGTTAGACTCTTTGAATGATTGGTTTCCCTTCTCTACAAGTTGAAAAGCCTGATTGTGAATGTCCATAGGTAACGAATTGTCTGCTTCACTGAGCTGGAAAACCAAATTTCAGATGATCAAATCAAACATTAACGAAAATCTCAATCCAGCAATCGGAAATTAGAGCATGCATTGTTCGCAAAATCAAAAACATAGAAGAAGAAGAAGCAATCGAGTGATACGAGGACTCACCAGACCGTAACTTTCGACCTCATCCAAACCGAACAAAGTGAATGCCGGAAGAGAGTCGTCGTTCGACATCGAGCGATGAATTCGAGAGAGTGAAAAAAAAAAATTGAAAATTGGGGAAAGAGATTGAAGGGAAGAAGCAAGGAGAGAGTGTATCGTGTTCTCTTGTGAGTCGTTTGTTTGCGACCACGGAATAGAAAACTCTACGTGTTTATTCTCTCTCCAAGCTTCACTTTTTCTGCAATCTCTCACATAAAAAGGTGAATCCTTTTTGTTTGTCAATCTTCCTTCTTCCTGATTTTTGGGTTGGAAGACAAAATTGAGGGCACCGGAATTCCTCACTGTATTTATTTTACAGTGAATAATTTCATTATTTTATTTATTTTTCCTACTGGAGTCGAACCATTTATAATTAAATTCTCCATAATAATTTTGATTATTAGGAAAGTTATTGAGAGATGAATTTTAAATGATTGTTAAAACAAAATTAAATTCATTTTACTGGTTAATGAGTTCTAACATTTTTACTAAAATCTATTGGTATTGGTCTAATGGTTTTTTAAAATCTATATCAAATCTATTGTTATTTTGTTTAAACAATATAACTTTTATACAAGTTTTTATGCTTTTATAGTCAAAATAAAGTGTTTGGCAAAAACAAATTGAGTCAAAGGAAAACTAAAAAGTTTTATGTAAATAGAGATATTCTCAAAAGTTTTTTTTGGTCAAAATAAAGAAAATTTCAATTTTTTGAGATACAAAAAAAGTAGGAAAAAGCGAATGACGTCAAAAAGAAAACTAAAAAGGAGGAAACAAAAAGTAGATATATACATGTGTTTCCTTTTCTAATTCTCTTCTTCTCTGCCGTTCTTATTCTCCTAAAACACATCCGAAACACGAGGGTCGATAGATTCTATATATTATATTAACCTACGCATTATCAATCTCAAATCTCTCCCACACGGAAAAAGAAGAAGAAAAGAGCTGTAGTGATGGTGGCAAATCTTCCGGCTTTGAAGACTTATGGGAGAGATTTGGTTGAGCAAGCAAGTAAGCTTGATCCTGTGATTGGCCGAGACGAGGAGATTAGAAGAGTAGTTAGCATTCTGTCAAGGAGAACGAAGAACAGCCCGGTTCTGGTCGGGGAACCAGGGGTTGGCAAAACCGCTGTGGTGGAAGGTTTAGCACAAAGGATAATGAAAGGAGACGTGCCGAGCAATCTAACCGATGTAAAACTCATTGCCTTGGACATGTGTGCATTAGTTGCTGGACCAACGTACAAGGGAGAGTTCGAGGAGAGAGTGAAGTCTGTGTTGAAAGAGGTTGAGGATGCTCAAGGCAAAGTTGTTCTCTTTATCGATGAGATCCACATGGTTCTCGGTGATTCCACGGATGCTGCTACTTTGTTAGCTAGAGGCCAGCTTCGTTGTATTGGAGCTACTACGCTACCGAAATACCGTAAATACGCTGAGAAAGATGCTGCGTTTGAGAGAAAGTTCCAGCAAGTGTTGGTGGCTGAGCCTAGTGTGCGTGACACTATCAATATTCTTAGAGGGCTCAAAAAGAAATATGAAGGACACCATGGTGTTCGTATCCAAGACAGAGCTCTTGTTGTTTCTGCTCAGTTTTCTGCTCGTTACATCACTGGTACGTGTGTTTGTGATCCTTACTATTTCCTTGGTTGATTATTTGTTGTGTTTGGCCTACCATATATGTTTTGTTTTGTAGGTCGACATTTACCAGATAAGGCAATTGATTTGGTTGATGAGGCTTGTGCTAACGTAAGAGTCCAGCTTAATAGTCAACCTGAAGAAATTGATAACTTTGAAAGAAAGAGAATGCAGCTAGAGATAGAACTTCAAGCCCTAGAAAAGGACAAGGACAAAGCTCGTCTTGTGGAGGTACAGTTACTACTTTGCTACATTTAGTTACTTAGGTATGATGATCTCCCTATATAGCTGAGCCTTTTTGTTGTTGTTTCTGTAGGTATGGAAAGAGCTTGATGACTTGAAGGACAAGCTTCAGCCTCTCACAACGAAATACAGAAAAGAGAAAGAGATAATTGATGAGATTCGGAGGCTTAAACAGAAACGAGAAGAGCTCACGATTGCTCTACAGGAGGCTGAGAAACAAAATGACCTTCCTAGTGCTGAGAAGCAAGAGGAGGCTAAGAAACAAGATCACCTTCCTAGTGCTGAGAAGCAAGAGGAGGCTGAGAAACAAGATGACCTTCCTAGTGCTGATAAGCAAGAGGAGTCTGAGAAACAAGATGACCTTCCTAGTGCTGAGAAGAAAGAGGAGGCTGAGAAACAAGATGGCCTTCCTAGTGCTGAGAAGAAAGAGGAGGCTGAGAAACAAGATGGCCTTCCTAGTGCTGCTGATCTAAGACGTGGTGAAATCAAGGAAGTGGAATCCGCAATTGCAAAATTACAAGAGAGTTCCAAAGAGAATGTGATGCTTAGAGAAACCGTTGGACCAGAGCACATTGCTGCGGTAGTGAGCCGACGGACTAAGATTCCAGTGACTAGACTTGACCAGAACGAGAAGGACAGGCTACTTTCTCTTGCTGATAGGTTGCACCAAAGGGTTGTTGGGCAGGACCACGCGGTGAACGTTGTGGCTGAAGCAATTCAAAGGTCGAGGGCTGGACTAGAAGGCCACAACAACCTAATGGCTCTTTCCTCTTCCTCGGTCCAACTGGTGTCGGCAAAACTGAGCTAGCTAAGGCTCTCGCTGAGCAACTCTTTGACGATGAAAACCTAGGGCCTGTTCGTTTGATCATTCAGCTAGATCATCTGGCTGGATCAGCTGAATGATGTTCGTTTAACAACAAAAATGAACAACATCCATCCGAATGAGTTTTGAATTTATAGGCAAAATTTTTGATATTTAGATGGATCATCTGGCTGATCCGAATTGGAGCATTTGGATGAGAGATGATCCATCCCAAATATGCAAATGACACATAAACCCCTAAATATATTTACACAAGAAAAATATTAATAATATCTATTTAATAAAAACTAGGAAATCAAAATTATCCACAAAATTATATTTTCCCGTCCAAACCGTAAAATTACGTTTTTCCACCAAAACCGTAAAATTATGTTTTTCCACCAAAACAGCAAAATTATATTTTCCCACCGAAACCGCAAAATCACGTTTTTCGCCAAAAAAAAACTTTTTTTCACCAAAATCGCAAAATAACGTTTTTCCGCCGAAATCGCAAAATGGCGTTTTCCCCAAAACCGTGAAATAACGTTTTTCTGTCGAAATCGCAAAATCACGTTTTTCCGCCGAGACCGAAAAATCATGTTGTTCCGCCAAAACCGAAAAATCGCGTTTTTCTGCCGAAATAAAAATCGCGTTGTTCCGCCCAAACCACGCGTTTTCCCGCCAAAACCGCAAAATAACATTTTTCTGCCGAAATAAAAAAATAGTGTTGTTCCTTCAAAACGGCAAAATCGCGTTTTCCCGCCAAAACCGCAAAATCACGCTGTTCCGCTAAAACCGCAAAGATGTTTTTTTTCCTCCAAAACCGCAAAATCGCTTTGTTCCTCCTAAAACGCAAAATCGTGTGTTTCCGCCAAAACCGCAAAATCACGTTTTCCCGCCAAAACCGCAAAAGCGCGTTGTTCCACAAAACCCCCAAAATCGTGTGTTTCCGCAAAAACCGTAAAAATCGCGATGTTCCGCGAAAACCGTGGAATTTCTACCAAAGCCTAGAAATTGTGTTTTTGTGCTGAAACCGCAAAATTGTGGTTTTCCGTTTAAACCGCGAAATTTCTGCTGAAACCTAGAAATCACGTTTTTCCGTTTAAAGTGTAAAATCATATCTTTTCGACGAAACCTTGAAATCGCAGTTTTCTGCTTAAACCGCAAATTCATATTTTTCTGCTGAAACCACAAAATCGCGTTTTTCCGCTTAAACCGAGAAATCACGTTTTTTGCCGATACAAAAAAATCGTGTTTTTCCGCTTAAATCGCAAAAGTGATTTCGCATTTTTTCAGCTAAATCGCGTAGAGTCGTATTTTCCAACCAAAACTGTGAAATTTTGTTTTTCTATCAAAACGCAAAATTACATTTTCATCAAAATTGTGAAATCACGCTTGATGACTTTGATATTATTTTAGATTTAATATTGAAATATTTAGAAAATTAATGTAGATAAAAAAAAGATTTAACAAATATATGAGTATTTTAGTCATTTTTTAATTAAAATCATCTAAATAGACTATTTGAATAGAAGAACACATGAATCATTTAGCTGAACCATTTGAATAAAAATAAAAAAATCCAAACATCGAGATGGACCATTTGGATGGATCATCTGCATGCTCCATCCAGATGAGGAAACAAACAGGGCCCTAATCATTAGACTTGACATGTCAGAGTATATGGAAAAATACTCGGTAACTCGACTCATCGGGGCACCACCAGGGTACGTTGGTTATAACAAAGGTGGACAACTAACGGAAGCTGTGAGGAGACGACCTTATTGCGTTGTACTATTTGATGAAGTTGAGAAGGCTCATGTTGACGTATTCAACACGCTACTTCAAGTGCTAGAAGACGGGAGATTAACAGATTCCCATGGGAGGACAAGCGATTTCACAAACTCTGTCATCATAATGACTTCAAACCTTGGTGCTGACCACCTTCTTTCAGGGCTTTCAGGTGAAGTGACGATGGAAGTTGCTCGGGACCAAGTGATGCAAGCAGTGAAAAAACATTTCAGGCCAGAGTTGCTAAACAGATTAGATGAGACATTGGTGTTTGATCCTCTGTCGCAAGAGCAACTGAGGAAAGCGGTTCAACTACAAATGAAGAATGTAGCTTTCCGGCTTGCTGACAAAGGTGTAGCTATGGCTGTCACGAATGCTGCATTGGACTACGTTTTAGCAGCGAGTTACGACCCGGTACATGTCTCTTGTCTTTATTCTCCCTTGCATTCTAGTGATTGATTGGTGTGTCTCACTTATCTTGTACTGTATGAATATGATTATAGGTGTATGGTGCTAGGCCCATGAGGAGATGGCTGGAGAGGAATGTGGTCACAAAGCTGTCGCAGATGATTTTGCGAGACGAAATCGATGACAACTCTACTGTGTACATTGATGTAAATGCGACCAAAACTGATCTTGTCTACAGAATAGATAAGAAGAGAGGGTTAGTGGAGGAGAATGAGCAAAATTCAGATGTGGTGATTCTTTTTGGGAACAAGAGGAGAAAACCTAATGAAGAGCTTTTAGGTGCTGGTGTTTTTAGGTTTTTAGTTTATATATACTAGAATTATCGGACTTTGCTTTCGATTAAATTATAATCCAAAATTATTAATTAGATGTTTCTTTTTCTTTTTTTTTTTTTTGGAGCAAATATTAGATATTTCTTTTAAGTATGAAATCGTTGATTGATGGTTACTGTTAAGTGTTAACTGGGATCCGAAAAATCCAGCGGGTACAAAGATAATTGATCACCGACCGATCGATGCAGAAAGCATCCAACGGCAACAAAAGATGTGGGTGGTATGGTTGTCAATTTGTCATCATAAATTTTACTTAACATACATATACGTCAATATGCTTTGTTGTTATTTATTCATTTTTGTTCATATTTATTTTCTTATTTTTTTTAATAAAAATTATCTGTTTAACTTTAAAAATAATATATATATATATATATATATATATGTAAATTCTTAAATTTTCTAGAAATTTTTGAACTTTCCAAAATTTTCTCGAATTACTTAAAATATTCATCTCGAAATTAAACCTTTGACCAAATTATTAAAAGTTTGGAAAGAGAATTTAGTTAAGAAGTATTCACGTACACAGGAAAACCTAGTCAAATAATTACTTGTTCTGCAAGCAAGGTACTAAGAAATTCTATAATTTACTCTTTTTTTAAGATTGATAAAAAGAAGGGAAAAAGCGAATGACGTAAAAAAACAAAGAGGTAACAAAAAAGTAGTAGATACACACACATATGTTTCCTTTTATAATTCTCTTCTTCTCCGCCGTTTGTATTCTCCTAAAAGGCTAAAACACATTCGAAACACGAAGGTCGATAGATTTATACATGTATTATTAACCTACATATAATTTTTTATCAATATCAAATCTCTCCGACACGGAAAAAGAAGAAGAGAAGAGGAAGAGCTTGTCTAATCTATTCAACGAACGGCTCTTAGAAACATAAACACAAGTATTTGTATCCTTAAATAGAAGGTTTGTCTGAATTACAGAAGTCATACGTGTTTTTGAGAGGTTGATCTATATAGAATAAATATTAATTGTGATTTGTGATTTTTTGTTGTCTGTAGTGATGGGGAGATCTTCAAGGGATGAAATTTGTGCTTTAAAGACTTATGGAAGAGACTTGGTTGAGCAAGCAAGTAAGCTTGATACTGTGATTGGCCGAGACGTGGAGATTAGAAGAGTAGTTAGGATTCTGTCCAGGAGAACGAGGAACAGCCCGGTTCTAGTCGGAGAACCAGGGGTTGGCAAAACCGCTGTGGTGCAAGGTTTAGCACAAAGGATAATGAAAGGAGACGTGCCGAGCAATCTAACCGATGTAAAACTCATTGCCTTGGACATGTGTGCATTAGTTGCTGGATCAACGTACAAAGGACAGTTCGAGGAGAGATTGGAGTCTGTGTTGAAAGAGGTTGAGGATGCTCAAGGAAAAGTTGTTCTCTTTATCGATGAGATCCACATGTTTCTCGGTGCTTCCACGGATGCTGCTATTTTGCTATCTAGAGGCGAGCTTCCTTGTATTGGAGCTACAACGCTACCGAAATACCGTAAATACGCTGAGAAAGATGCTACGTTTGAGAGAAGGTTCCAGCAAGTGTTAGTAGCTGAGCCTAGTGTGCCTGACACCATCAATATTCTTAGAGGGGTTAAAGAAAAATATGAAGGACACCATGGTGTTCGTATCCAAGACAGAGCTCTTGTTGTTTCTGCGCAGTTGTCTGCTCGTTACATCGCTGGTACGTATGTTTGTGATCTTTAAAGAGTGTTGCTGTTACTGTTTTCTTAGGTTTGATGTGGTGTTATGTAGGTCGAGCTTTACCGGATAAGGCAATTGATTTGGTTGATGAGGCTTGTGCAACGTAAGAGTCCAGCTTAATAGTCAACCTGAAGAAATTCGTAACTTGAAAAGAAAGAGAATGCAGCTACAGATAGAACTTCATGCCCTAGAAAAGAAGGGCAAAGCTAGTCATGAAGCTCGTCTTGTGGAGGTACAACTAATTAAATTCATAATTTTGTTATTAGATAATCCTTAAATATTTATAGCTGAGCCTTTTGAATTTGTAGGTACGGAAAGAGCTTGATGACTTGAGTGACAAGCTTCAGCCTCTTGGAAAGAAATACAAAAACGAGAAAAGGATAACTGATAAGATTCGTAGGTGTACACAGAAACGAGAAGAGCTCACGTTTGCTCTACAGGAGGCTGAGAGAAAACATGACCTTCCGAGAGCTGCCGATCTAAGATATGGTGCAATCGAGGAAGTGGAATCCGCAATTGCAAAATTACAAGAGTTCCAAAGAAAATGTGATGCTCACAGAAACCGTTGGACCAGAGCACATTGCTGCGGTAGTGAGCCGAAGGACTGGGATTCCAGTGACCAGACTTGACCAGAACGACAAGGAGAGGCTAATTTCTCTTGCTGATAGGTTGCACCAGAGGGTTGTTGGACAAGACCGCGCGGTGAACGCTGTGGCTGATGCAATCTTAAGGTCGAGGTCTGGACTAGGAAGACCACAACAACCCATTGGCTCTTTCCTCTTCCTAGGTCCAACTGGTTTCGGCAAAACTGAGCTAGCCAAGGCTCTCGCTGAGCAACTCTTTGACGATGAAAACCTAATCGTTAGGTTTGATATGTCTGAGTATAAGGAAGCACACTCGGTTTCTCGTCTCATCGGGGCACCACCAGGGTACGTTGGTTATCATGAAGGTGGACAACTGACCGAAGCTGTGAGGAAACGACCTTACTGCGTTGTACTATTTGATGAAGTTGAAAAGGCTCATGTTTCCGTGTTCAACACGCTACTTCAAGTGCTAGATGACGGGAGATTAACAGATGCGCATGGGAGGACAAGCGATTTCACAAACTCTGTCATCATAATGACTTCAAACCTTGGTGCTACCCACCTTCTTTCAGGGCTTTCAGGTGAAGTGACAATGGAGGTGGCTCGGGACCAAGTGATGCAAGAGGTGAAAATGTATTTCAGGCCAGAGCTGCTAAACCGTTTGGATGAGATATTGATGTTTGATCCTCTGTCGCAAGAGCACCTGAGGAAAGTGGTTCAACTTCAGATGAAGAATGTAGCTATCCGGCTCGCTGAGAAAGGTGTAGATATGACTTTTACAAATGCTGCATTGGACTACGTTTTAGCAGCGAGTTACGACCCGGTAAATCTCTCTCTTCTCTTTCTTAGTTCTCCCTAAAATGTATGTTTAGCTTTTGAGTTGTTATATTATATATACTGTACATATCCAATAAATGATTGATTGGTGTGTCTCATGACCTATGTTGTTGTATGATTATTATTATAGGTGTATGGTGCTAGGCCCATGAGGAGATGGCTGGAGAGGAACGTGGTGACAGAGCTGTCGAAGATGATTGTGCGAGAAGAAATCGATGACAACTCTAACGTGTACATTGATGTGAACGCGGCTAAAACTGATCTTGCGTACCGAATAGATAAGAATAGAGGAGGGTCAGTGGATGAGAAGACGGAGCAAATTTTTGATGTGGTGACTCTTTCTGCGAATAAGAGGAGAAAAAATAAGGTGCCTTCATCGTCGAAGAAAATGAAAAAGAGGAGAAAAGTTAACGAAGTTAAGGATTGAAGAGCAATGGAGGATTTAAAGTTTAACATACCGTGTTCCTGTTCCAACTTGGGACGTTTTAATATTTGTCTATTTGACATTAAAAGCACTTTTTTCTTGTTTGAATATTTTGGGTTTGTGAATTAGTCACTGGATCTTGGTTTGAAGCATCATTAGTTGTGAACTTTTTGATGTATGTTTCGATAGAAATAGTTGCTTGATTGATGGTTACTGTTAACCGGAACCAGAAAAATCCAGCGGGTACAAAGAGAATTGATCATCCACCACCGCTCGATGTAGAAAGCATCCAACGGCAATAAAGGAACTGGATGGTGTTTGGTTGTCATCATAAATTTTAGTTGGCATATATACGTCGATATAAACATTAATTACTTTTCTTTTCTGCAAGATGAATAATGTCTTCAAAGAAAATGAAAAATGTCTTCAAAGTAAAGATATTTTGGAGGCTGGAGCTATGGAACTAGTAATAAACTAATAATAATGCAAGGCTATATTTTTCTAACAAACAAAAAAAATTCCATTTTGGCATTTTCTCTCATAAGTATATTGAGTATTTTCTTTTCCCAATACTATACTTGTAATAAGACATCATTGTTCTGCAGGATCTAAGCAAAAAGCCTCTCTTTTTTTTATCACTGTCTTCAATGCAGTGACTCTCTTTCTCTCTCTTGACTCATAGCTCTTGTTAACTTCAAAACCATCTCAATCTCTACACCATTCTCTCTCTCTGCAAGAAGCTGCATCCAAATCCTGTGCTTAGCTCTGGTGCAACGCCATGGTAGTTGTTGTTCTTGCTGTGATTTTGTTGGCTATGGCTGGTCACTCAGGTAAAGACAAGATTTTCTCTGTTCAAATCCTGCAAAGTTGAAGTAAAATAACCCTTCTTTGTCTCACATGAATCCTTTTTTATTTTTGCTGTGAATAAAGATTATTTTTTCTTAAAAGACTCTGTTTTTAGTCCAGAACACAAATCTCAAATTTCTGGGCTTTCATAGTTTGAATGAATTTTTCTAAAAAGAGAAACACTTTCTTGCTTTGCTCATACCTTTCATCAAAAGGTGTTACTTTTTCTCCGTGGAGTACAGAAATCTTGTTCCCTCTTGAATTACACATTTAGATTTCATTTCACACATAAACCAGTGAATTAGAGTTGAAGAAATATGTGTGGTCATGAAGTTCTTGTGTGTGTGTGTGTGTGAATAGGTGGGACATGGTGTGTATGCAGAGAAGGGTTAAGCGAAGCAATGCTGCAAAAGACACTGGACTACGCATGTGGTGCAGGAGCTGATTGTGGACCTATTCACCAGAACGGACCTTGCTTTCAACCTAACACCGTCAAGTCTCATTGCTCCTACGCCGTCAACAGTTTCTTTCAGAAGAAAGGCCAGTCTCAGGGAACTTGTGACTTCGCCGGCACAGCCGCCGTCTCAGCCTCTGATCCCAGTAAGTCTCCATCAACCAACCTCTCTGCTATCACTCATTAAATTAATTTCAAAAGAATGTGTTGAGAGACCATCTTTCACATTTGGTGATATAAAGAATGGAACCCAACTTGAAAGCAAATCAGAGAGGATATAGTATATATTTTGAAATCTAAACATCACAGGTTTCAATGTGAATGATATTGAGATATAAACAATCCATTATCTTAATATATATTATCATCTTAAGATTCTCTACACAGAATTTTAAAAGGATTTTATTAGTAACGGTTGTCTCTTGAACCATTTTGGTCTTATGATAGGCTACACTACTTGTCCTTTCCCTGCAAGTGCCAGGTACACAATCCTTTCTTTCTTTCTTTCTCTTCTTCACCTCTTGATGTGTTAGCATTTGATGATATCTACAAAATTTTGAGATGTGTTTGTTTGGTTGTTTGGTGTGGCATTTGATGCAGTGGTAGTGGTACCACAACTCCAGTGACGACAACACCTTCGACAAGAGTCCCTACCACGACTAACACAAGACCCTACACAGTCACACCTTCAGCAGGAGGAGGATTGGGGATTCCGTCTGGAATTCCTGATTACACAGATCCGTTATCATTTGGATTCAGACTCCAAAGCCCAAGAGCCGGATTATTGTCTGGATTCATAGTCTTCTTCACTCTCTTACCATTCTACTTGTTTAGCTAGTGAGTTAAGGGTACAAACAACAACTAAGTTGGATTGTGGGTCTCTCTCTCACTCCCTACTGTAATGATGGAATCTTTTAGGAGAGAGTCATTTAGGTGGTGGACTTCTTTTGTTCCGTCTTTGTCAGATTTTCCAGCTGTTTCCCACTTGGGTCTGAAAAATTGTACATTTTGATTATTAAGTATGGAGATTGGAGACAGCAAAAAGTTAAGTTTTTTTTTTTCTTCACCGGAATTGTTCAGAAATTAGGTACTTGCCGGAAAAAGCAAATCTTAACGTGCAGAGAGAAAGAGAGGGAGAGGCCTGATTGTTTTCTCGAAAGCTTTAACGACTGTTCTTTTTCCTGCATCGAGAAACCTCGAATTCGCCGAAGTAGATTGACCGGCGACGATTTTAATAAAACATTAAGGATAAAAGTGTCATTTTAACGGTTTAATCAAAATACTAATGAAGGGCAAATATGTCATTTCTCGGTTCCACCAACCAACACTCTCTTCTCAGTTCTCAGTGAGAATTTGATTGATCCGATTCCGATCATCCAAGCAGCAGCCGAAGACGAGTAGACGACCGCCGGCGATTTTTCCGGTTGGTAAGATTTCTTCTCTCATCTTCTTCCTTGGGGGCACGGATCTCTGATCCCAATCTTACATCGTGAATATCAGCTTTCGTTCTGGTTTTAATGGATTTGTTTCTACTTAGATTTAATAGATTGCGTCGATTTCTTCATCTCACCTGGAATGTTAAAAAAATCTATACCCATTGTATCGAAACACGTCTCAGTTTACATTGTAGCTCTTCAACGTCTCAATTTGTTAATGTAACATATATGAGCTTGGCGTATATGAGTTAGAAAATGTCTTTTTTTGGTTTCTGCTCGTATACAGAGATGTGATGGTTTAATTTTGTTTTCTTGTGGTTTTGCAGAAGATCCAAGTTTTGATGGAAGCATTAACTACTTCCAGGGTTGTGCCAATTCAGGTCCCCTGTAGAAAGCTCTCACCAGCGTTTGATAATTTGCAATCTTCCCTTGAGTTTAGGAGATCTCCTTGTAAAGGGGGTGTCTCCATCATGAACCATCCCAAATTGCTTCGTCCAGTGACTGCTTCTGCGCAACCACAGGAGTTGACGAGTTTAGGGCACGAAGGAAACGTTGTTCCTTCTAAAGGTGAGTACTACTAATCATTGCTTTAGACTGGTCTGGTGTATATCGATTTAGGGGATAACGATCTGGTACATGGTTGTGGATTTGTTAACCTGAGATGCTTTGGTTTGTTGGTTTTCTGAATTGGTAGAAATTCTTGATCTTTGGAGAAATGTGGAAGCGGTGTGCTTCGATGTGGATAGCACGGTTTGTGTGGATGAAGGTATTGATGAGCTTGCAGAGTTTTGTGGAGCTGGAAAGGCTGTTGCTGAATGGACTGCCAGGTTTGTGGTCCATCTCCACGCCATTACATACTACAGCCTTAATCCGGTTTCTCGGCTTTATACCTAAATATGTTGATTATTGTTTTGTTAGAGCAATGGGTGGATCTGTTCCATTTGAAGAGGCTCTAGCAGCAAGGCTTTCTTTGTTCAAGCCTTCTCTTTCAAAAGTTGAGGAATTTCTCGAAAAGAGACCCCCAAGGTACTGTTTCTTTACTATGATCCAAGCTACGTACCCTTGATTCACTCTGCTTGAAGAATTCATTTCACATATTAAAAAGAATTTGCTTGTAAGTGTTCGACTAGCTCATGTTCTTGTCTTGAAATAGACTTTGACCAAAAGAGAGGTAAACATTGCTTGATTCTCTGCACAAGACATGGCTTGTTTGCTCTCTGATATGTGTTATTATTTTTCGGTTTGTGTAGGCTGTCACCTGGCATTGAAGATTTGGTCAAGAAGCTCAGAGCCAATAAAATAGATGTCTATTTGATATCTGGAGGTTTTCGACAAATGATCAATGTACACTTGTCTCTTCATGTTCTTTACTATGGCCTGTTGCATTGATTCTTGTGTAGACGATTACAAATTTACAATCATGGTGATAACGTTTTGAATAAATTTCTTTTCAGCCTGTAGCGTCAATTCTTGGCATCCCTCAAGAGAACATCTTCGCCAACAACATATTATTTGGGAATTCCGGCGAGTATGTGGGCTTTGATGAGAACGAACCTACATCAAGAAGTGGAGGCAAAGCTAAGGCAGTGCAACAAATACGAAAGGTTCATCAAACTTTATAACTTTGCAAGCTCCATATCTCTCTTGTTGAATACAACACTCTGTACCAATGAGAGTTTGTTTTTTTCAGGGTCGTCTCTACAAGACTATGGCCATGATCGGGGATGGTGCTACTGATCTCGAAGTAAAACTTTATCAACTGAGAACTTTTACAGATATATCTCAATTAGCGTCTGAGTGACTTAACTAATTCACTTGCAGGCACGTCAACCTGGTGGTGCAGATTTGTTCATATGCTACGCCGGAGTTCAGCTCCGTGAAGCCGTTGCAGCCAATGCTGGCTGGCTTGTCTTCAAGTTTGAATCTCTCATTAACACATTGGACTAAAAGTCTCTCTAGACTCATTATTCTCATTATTCAAATCTCAAAACTTGTACCCTTTATTTGTGTGAAATTCCATTGAATCAACAATTGTTTTTTTTTTTTGCCATCTTGATCTGTTTGTTCAAGCATCACTGAACGTTGTTATAACAAAATTTTGGTCTGTGAAGAGATAATTAAACCGCAGACTAATCAATAATCAATCTCAAGAGGTAGACATTCCTGGATGCCTGTTTAACGAACAAAGCCATAGCCACCAGCACCACGACCAAATCCTCCACGACCGAATCCACCACGACCGTATCCACCACGACCACCACCAAAACCTCCCCTTCTGGCAAAACCACCACCACGACCACCGCCTCCTGAATCAGCTTGGTCCACTCTAATTATTCGCCCATCAATTTCCTGTTTTAAGTGTGAAACTCTATAAATTGCGGGTAGACAAAACCAAGCAAAGAAACAAGTGGTTTCTGAAGCAGCAATGCAGTATCAAATCCAAACATTGCTCTTTTTCTCTAAGGAGATAAAACAAAGCCATAAAATAAATGGATTCACTTCACATTTCGACAAAGAGGAAGGTACAGGACTAACTAACTTAGATATTTAGTAAACAAAAGAAGCAGAGAAATTGGTATTACCTGATCATGCATATATTGAATTGCGTTATTAGCAGCATCGATTGAATCATATGTTACGAAACCAAACCCCTTCGATAGACCAGTTTCACGGTCCGATACCATTATGGCTGCGATGAACAAAGTATATATCAGTACGAAACCAATGGAAAAAAAGAAGTGATTCAGGTGCAAAATGATAACACTACCATCAACGATTTTTCCAAATCTGCCAAAAACTTCTTTCAAGAGATCCACATCAGTAGTTTGTGAGAGACCTGAGAAGAAGCAGCATATAACACATGATGAGATTCTTAAGACAATCAAACAGAAAGAAAGAAAAAACAGAGTTTTGGAGTCTGACCTCCAATAAAGATTTTGGAAGGAGTCAAAGAAAGATTGCCCTGTAACATTGCGTTAGTGGCCTGCATCGCTCTAGGCTGCCTAAATATGTTTCCAGCTTTACTAAACATACCCAAGTAATGCATCTTCTTCAATCTGAAAGCAATTTTCAACAAGACAAAAAAATCAGAAGAACAAATCTCTGAAAACTCATGAATAGATCGGCTTCTGACATTTTTCGTTTTCCGGCTAGAACCACAGGGCATTATCGATAAGAATCGAGTCAAAAGCTTACAACTTTCAACTGAATGATCCCGTTTCTGATGAATCCATATGATTGCATCACTCAGAACAGAGAAATGTAGAATCCAAATCAAAATCCCTAGAGTTACGAAGAGACGCATAGACAAGGAATTGGGGGAAAGCAAAGTAACCAGAGAGAGAGAGATCTAGCTAGGTAGGATCAGCGAATGCTAACTTTCAGAAAATAAGATCGAATTTGGAGTAAGTAGAGAAATTCAAACCTGGAAAGCAAATGATTTTACACTCCTTTTGGGATTCTATGTGAAATGGATGGATGATAAATAATCTCGAGAAGCTTAATTTGATTCTCGCCGGTAGTGAAAAACCCTGAGTTTTATATAAAGAGTCAGATTTGACACGAGACGGATCTCGTCCGTTGATTATTGTCTGAATTAATCTTGACCGTTCATTTAAGTGCAACAACAGGAAACAGAGAGATTTGAAAGTATTTAAAAACCATTTCATCCCTAAAACCCAATTTTTGGTTCTAAATATTCTTTTATTACTAATTTTCACTCAATGCTAATAACTTTTGTGTGGTTTCTTAATTGTTTCTTCCTCCATCTCTAAAACTTTTTATTTGGTTCTTAATTAAAAAAAATAAATTCTACAAAATTTATAATTTTAAACATAATACATAAAAAACATAAAATATATTTCATTTAATAAATTTTGAAACATATAAAGACATACAAAATATATTTGAATATAAATTTACAAATTAAAACAAAGAATAAGTAGTTTAAAATATTTGATTCAACTTATTTATAAGCTTTCAACAACCAAATATGCTCATAATCTGCACAAACATTCTCATCGATGACACATCTTTCTTTTTGTTGAACCATTTAATTGGCTTTTGTGTTGTTGTCTTGTTGAAGAGACGCTATTTAGAGTTGAAGAGACGCTATTTCGGATCTAAGAACAATTGCTAACATTTTGATGAAAAATGTCTTTAGTCGTCTAGCTGAGAAAAGCATAGCAGATAATGCTATGGCATATATGATGGAGAATAGTGTTGAACTGTTGATGCTGAATATGGAGCTCGCCCCATCAAGAGATGGCTGGAGAACAATGTTGTCACAGATCTATCCAAGATGATTGTGGGAGATGAGATTAGTGAAAGCGCAACAGTACACATCAATAGTTAAGAAGCGAAAGATTGAAGGAGACATCTAGGGCACACGACATACATATGTTCTTTTCCAAATTTTGAACTTTCTTTATTTTCATGTATGTATAATTGAGGCTTTTTCCTTATTTTCATATAATTCCAAAAACTTTTTCCTTATTTTCATATAATTCCAAAAAAGTTCAGCTCTTACAGTTTAGTTTCAGTTCCAGATTCAAAAAAATATTGTTATTACTTCCAGTCTAGTCTAGTCTTTGATGAGACACGAGACTAATATGAATATGGTGACTCGAAGTAGAGTCTCAAAATAGTATTTGACGCAGTGAAATTCTCTCCAGAACTAACTTAAGTCTATGCGCGCATTAACATTGAACACTTGTCGTGAGTTCTCAGTCAAAAGTCCCTGTATTTGCTTGCAGCCGACCAAATTCACCATGCACGATCTCACTCACCAGATCCTTGAAGAGAAGCCTCTCCAAGTTGAGCACTAAACCAGGGATCAACAATACATAATTAAATGAATCACCAAACAATCAAACATAAAAGACAAAAATAAACAGAGAATCATATTGTACGTAGAATAAATCATGACTTTTGACTTGTATTATTATATATACGGCTTTAGAATACTGAGGTTCAAAAACGAGCATATGGATCAGTTATCTACTCATGGGCGAAAAACATTCTTCATCTCCCTCAATTTTCTTGCAGCGGACCAATCTCACCATGCACGATCTCACTCACCAGATCCTTAAAGAGAAGCCTCTCCAAGTGTAGCACTAAACCAGGGATTACATCATCAAAGTCTGTCCATTTCCCAGATTGAGTCGCCATATCTTCATCCAATATACATTTTAAGAAGTCTTCTTCTTGTTCTTCCAACAACAAGAAGTCATCTGATCTTTTCTTGGCTTGATTTTGCAATGTTTCTATCTCTGAACATAGTTCTTTCAAGAGTTGTTGCGCACTCAAGACCCTCTTCATCGCTTTATCTGACTTCATCCATTGATCTGCACTGCCCTCAACAAAAGCTAACTTCTTCACGAGCATTTCATTCACAGCATCGAATACAAGTCTGCGGTTGAGCTTCTCGTTGCTGCTGCTGCTGCTGCTTCCTTTAGTTTGCTCAAGAACAAGGAATAGCTCGGGATTGATAGGGTGGCCTGAAGAGTGAAGTTGAAACGTCGTTAATTCTGAGCCAAGGTCTCTTAGGAGAAGACCTGAGGCTAAAAGAATCTCGGAAATGTATCTGTGATCGGTGTTAGGATCATTGTTCTCGCATAGTGATGCAATGTAGTCTTGGCTGGCTTCGTCATGGCTGGAGTTTAGTCTTTTCAGCTTTTGAACCAAATGCTCAACATTTTCAAGCTTCTTCCGGTTTACCTCGGGTGAAAAGCTGGTTGTTGTCTCTGAGAAGCTGTAAGCTGGATTCCACTGGTCTTCTTCGCAATGTTCAATAAGGCCATTACCACCTGTTACAAGGAGCAGTTTCAAATCAGAAATGGAAGAAGGAAAGTGACTGAAGATGTATACAGTATACAGAGAGGTCTTACTGCCTTCACTAGCTTGCATTTTCACTGGAGATGGTTTGATCTCTCTGTAGATTGATGCGTTGAGAACAGAAACTGGACTTGGATGTTCCGGTGATCCATCTTCACTAAGCTTTGGAATGGATTTCTGAAAAAAAAAAACATAAGATTGGAAAATTAGCAGCTAAAACTTGTTTATGACCAAAGCATGAGAAACAACAACTTACATGCTGCATTAAGTTAGAGACAACGGCTTTGGCTGCCTCTATAACAGAAGGACTCTTTCCACCACCAGCTTGGTCTATAGCCACGGTGGCTTCAGTCTCAGTTCTAGATTTACTGCTCGTTTGACGAAGTTGGTCATCTTTTTTCTGTAAGCTCCTCTGAGCCCTCGGTCTACGCTTACCACCAGGAGGAGTAGTAGATTCTTCCGGTTGTCGGTTTGTTTGTCTTCTTGATTTGCTTGAATCAGATGATGGAGTGGTTGGTGGACGAGAACGCTTGTCATTCTCATGCTTCTTCATCTGATGCAATCTTGAACTTGCACATCCTGGATTCTTGAAACTGCTCTCTTTAGAAACCTGAGAAGACCGCACATTTCTGCTGCTAGTTTTGTTATCAACAGAACTACGACCTTTTGCCACCTTTCTTTGAACATTCACAGTCTCTTCTCTGCATGTCGTATTAAGACCAGACAGACTGTGAATGGGAATCAGAGATGATGAAGGAATACCAGAGTTTTCAACAAGTCTTGCAGGTTTCATAATCACAATCGGTCCTCTCGTCACCTGGTTTTGTAGACCTCTTGCGTCTTGGTTAGAAGTTGCTGAATCTCTTTGAGGCTCCAAGTTTGAGCATTGTGGCTGCTGCTTTTGAGTATCAAAGACACCTTTTGACTGCATTGCCTCTATTATCTCTTTAAAAGCTCTGAGATCTATCCCTGAATGCTTCAACTCGAGATCTTTCAATCTTCCTTCCATTGACTGCGACAGAGCTTTCACTGGCCTGGTTGCTTGCTTTTGCAAAAACCGGTTTCTATCGGTTTGCTTCCATGGAGCTGGTTCAATGGGATATCTCAAACTAGATAAAGGTTTCATAACAAACTCAGAGTTTCTCCATCTTGGAGAATAAGAGGAAGAAGAAGAAGAAGGCAGGTCTTTCGCAGAGCTTCTCGGTGAGCTAGGAGATAACCGGATAGTACGGTTAAAGCTATTCTCCCTCAATGACCTTGAGAAGTGATGATCACTGTTATCATCAAACATGTTGATCTTGTCTCTCCCCAATGGAGAACCAGGTAATGTCTCCAAACCCATCAGCTTTGCAACAACACTAGGAGGACGTTTCGGGCTACCAGAAGATTTGTTCATGCTTGAGCTTCTACTGAAACTTTCAGAGAGCTTAGTACATGATTTGAGATCAACATGGTCTCTACTGTCCAACGAAAGCCTAGGCAGCTCTTTAACCTTCTTCCCTGATTTCAACTTGTCACGAGAATCAACGTAGTAACGAGATGCATCTTTCATGTCAACCTCATTGTAGTAATGCTGAGATGTTTTTCTAAGTTTGGCCAGTGCTTTGCAGGACTGGTTGAAATCTACAGGCGTGGATTGCATCAAACCGTAAGGTCTTGGAGAGTCCTCTCTTCTGTTGTTGTGTCCTCTAGCTTCTCTGTACATAGAGTCTCTAACAACATCTCTAAGGTCAAGTCCCATATGTGGAGCAAACCCACCTCCTTGGCTCATCACTGGATCACTCGTTGGAGATTCAGGGAAAATGACTCTGTCACTCGCGGATATTTCAGGCTGAGCTTCTCTGTTTACCTCAGAATACAAAGGGGAAGATGATGAACACGACGATGAGAATGAAACCCTCGAAGATTCTGTTGATGGCCTTGTTAGCTTCTCGGTTGATTCATTTCCGTTATTGAGGTTTGAGTCTTGAGACTTGAATGTTGGTCTTTGCTGATAAACTGCATCAACAGAGTCTCTTTCAAAGTTGATACTATTGACATGTGCATTACCTGCAAAAACACAACACATAACATCAAAAGAGAGTCTGTGGATGATATCAAAATTCTCTTTCTCAATAAACCCCTAAACATTGGAGATTCTGAAACTTCAAAGAATTCAAGGTAAAGAGAAGTCAAAATCTACCAAGAATATAAGCCAAACAAAACAACAGACATTTCACAAAGTAGAGCAAACTTTCTTTAGGAAATGGCAGATACAATTTAGCAGAGAAAGTAAAGACAAGACCTATTAGTCCTCACAGAAGAATCAGACAAGACTTTTTTAGTTCATGAAGAAACAGAGCTAAAGAGAGAAGAAGAACATGGAAAAAGACATATATGTTGAGAACGTTTTTTAACATAGGACCATGTACAAGTCAACGACTACGAGGCACGATCTAGAGAGCATAAGTATTTAAAAGTTTTATGAATTATGATTACCTAGAGTAAGACTTTTTCGCCGGTTTGTGAGAACATGGTGGCGATCAAAGATTTGGAAAATCCCATTCATACATCCAATTTTCTTCTGCAGTTCCGAGTTATCATCTGCCAATGTATGCAGAAGCTTCGCAGCCATGAATAGTGAAAAAGTAAGCTTAGGAGATCACTTTAAACAAATAAGATTCTTCGGCGAATCTTTTTTTATCTTTTTGGCTGAAAAACTTGAAAGTGCGTAGTCTTTTTTCTTCCCTTTAAAGCTTTCGTTATATCTCCATCAAAAGCAACCACCATGGAACCATAACGAGAATGGCGCACTTTCCGTATAATTCCAAAAAAGTTCAGCTCTTATCACTTTCAGATTCCAATAAAACTGGCCCTGACAAAGGTCAATGTAAACGCCATTGCTCTCCAGCTAATTACAGCTCAAAATTCCCTATCAACGACAAAAAAGCTAAAAATCGCATATTTTTCAGTAAATGGTAAATCAGAAAGAAAGAAAAAATGGCATTTTTGTCTCTACTACTCGTAGCAAAAGTTCAAAACTTTACCACTTGACGCAATGATCTTCGATTTGAATTTAAAATCAAAAAAGTCTCACGCCATTAGAATTTATGTTCCACACCTTCTATTCACAAATTCCACCGACGACGATGAGATGAGTAGAGACGAACCTTATTCGTAAACTATCTCATCGACACTATAAAAAGCTCTATATTGTTGTGTAAGAATCCCCCAGAAGAAGATACAGAAATCTACACGGAAGAATCTCAAAAAACCCCAAGAAAATAAGACAAAAACTTTCAGATACTGATAATGCCAAGAAGAAGGAGAAGAAGGAGAGGGAACAAAGTAATCTCTGCCAATGTTCCTCTGTTTTTTAGTCTCTGGTTCTGCTCAGAGAACAAAACAAATCATTTCTATGTTTATTTCCGATGAATAATAGAAATAGAAATGATGAGAGAGAGAGAGAGAAGAGAGACAAAGGTGGGGTTGTGGCAAGTGGATGTGATTTGTTAAAACTCTGTTCTTCAGATGTCTCCCTCTGCATGTGACTTCTGTCTTCTCGTTAAGATATCCACATTATTATCTTCTTCTTTTTCTTACCATTTTTTATTTTCTCATTTGTAATGGGTATAATTTTAATCTCCATACTTGTTGAATGTAAGGTTTCTATCTTCTCTCCGTGGATTACATGAAAATTGTTAAAATGGTTTTAGACTTGGACATTAAATTTAAGGTAGAACAGATTCACATGCTGCTAATAAACAACGAAGTTAGTTGTAAACTGGAAAGCATGCTTTGCTTTAGTAGTTAGATCACCAAACTAGGACGAGTTTGACTTTTCTTTTACGTTATCTCCACATCTTTATTTTCGTATCACAAAATAGTGTTTTTTATTAACTTTCACTGCCATTATGATTGATAGCATCTTTGGTTTCTTGCTATTGGGAAAAAAAAAATAAAAAAAATAAAAGAAACCGCATAATCATTAAATACCATTACGTCATTTCAAAAATACCAATTACAACCTGAGTACACCATAAACAGCTAAACTTGTCTAGTCTTTGTTGAAACATGAGACTAATACGAATATGAAGAGTTTGGTGAAATGAAGTTAAGTCTCACAATAATGTTTGACCCAGTAATGTATTCTCTAGAACCAATCTTAAATCCTATGCGCGCATGAACATTGAATACTTGTTGTGAGCTCTCAAGGAGAAAGTAAAACAGTGAGGACTTACTCAGTCAAAAGTCCTATGGATGGATCGATTTACTTATGTGCCTCGATGACCCTAGAGTAGAACGTCCATGATTCGTGCCCCTCAGTTATGGCAGTCTGGCCGATCAGATTCTCCTGTACGAACTTTTGAACGTTCTCTGCATCCGCTAATCTTTCTAAGTACTTCCTAAGCTCACCATCAGGTCCTGTTCTCAAGATATAAAACATTTCTGTGAATTAATGATAAGTAACCGCAGAAGATATTAGCTTTCCATGAGTAACTTGATTGAAACAGAATGAAATAAACACTATAACTCTTTCTGTTTTTGATTTTGCAGAACTTGGATGATTTTGAGTATTCAATAACGTAGAGACTCACCTAATGCAGAATCGTTACGGTTTGTGTACTGATATGGGAAAGGGAAAATTCCAGTATGCGCCTAAAAAGAAGAAAAGGAACACTATTAATCCGTTGTTGATGTTTAAGAAAGTTGAGATCGCAGAAATTGAACACAAAAGTTAGTCACAAGTATCTGAGCACTTACAGGATTACACAGGGCCTTGTGGGGTGAATCGTCAACTAGTAAGGTATTTTTCTCATCGTATTTCTGTTTTCCACAAGTGGGACATGTCCCAAAACTGTTCCAGACTCTCCTTAGATCTTTAAGGAACAAAGGTTTTGTGGTGTTCTCCAGAGTTTTGAAGTTTGTTGTAATGCATATGCTCTGATCCTGTGTACATATATAAAACACTTATCGTAAAGACAACTGAGTACAAATCGTAAAGACAGCTGAGTACAATGATCGTTGAGTCTATTAGCTGGTTTTTGGACAAAGAAAAGGAATAAGAACAAACTCTGCTCATATGTAATTGTAAACTACACATCTCAAATCAAAGAAATGCAATTTATATAGCTCATAAACTACACTCTTTATAGCTCGTAGAGATTACTTACGTAACAGAACAGCAAATTCCTCGCATGGTTTCCCAAGACAACGTGGTTCATATAATCCAATCCTCTGTAAGAAGAAAAGGAAAGACAGAGTTAACTGAGAGATTAAACTTAGTATATGAAGTAAGACACTTGACTAAGAAAAACAAAAGAAAGAGCAATGCATTTGAGTGAATCAGTTCAAGACACTTACATGCGTCTGGAAGACCATATCCCAACATCAAATCTCTCAAAGCAGAAGTCAAGGAAACTAGCAACAAATGGTCTCCTGAAAACTATGGAAAAGAACAAAGAAATTACTCTAGAGTCAATGAAGCATGTAAGAACTTTAAAAGTCGTCACAAATAGAAATGATTTTTTCTTACTTGATCTGGATGATATTCTACCGTCTGGAAAAAATTGACCCGTATGTCCCTGGACAATGTCTGCAAGGATCCCATTCAAATCAAAGACAACCAACTTTTTGGTACTTCCACCTTCGCATGAACATCTAGACAAATCTTCAGTTCCCAGTGAAGCGACTCCTTGAACCACATTACTTTGCATTAAGACAGAACTTGACAAAGATGTTTCATCCTTCTCCGCATCCATTTTATCAGTTTCGTGATCTTCACAAGAATCTTTCTTCTTCTTCTTCCTCTTCTTTGGTTTAACCTCAACCACATCGACACCTTCTGCTCCCGAAGCATCCTGATCAACTTCTCCCCTTTTATCTTTTTTCAGTTTTTTGGTTTTCTCAACACTCTGGAAACTTTTCCCCTCAGTTGCAGAATCTTCGATTTTGTTTGCCAAATCCTTAACGTCAGTCTTCCCATCAGAAATCCCATCACAATTTGCCACACCTCTTTTCGAATGAGACAATAAACATTGTTCTGTGTCGCCATCCATGGTGGCTACTGATTCACATTCTTTCATCTTGTTTCGCTTCCTCTTTTTTCTTTTGTGCCCAACGTCATTAATACCTTCTGCTTGTATCTCTCCCGCTGCAGATTTGTCAGTTTTACTTGTCATATCCTCGCCCACAAACTCTTTTCCAGCATTACTATTACAAGATGGATCACAGACCTCCACCTCCATTTCTGCAATTGTCTGATCTGTGGATGACGTTTTCTTCTTCTTGCCCTTCCGTTTTTTGGTCGTTTCATCACTTACACAAGCAGGTTCCATACACTTTACTGACCCACCTTTCATAGAGGTTGCTAAAGTAATTTCTAGAGGGTCACAGACCTCCATCGTTTTGGTTTTGCTCTTCTTCTTTTTCTTGGCTTTAGGACTCTGAGTTTGGGACACAGTATCATCGGCTTTTACTTCTGCGCCGTTTTGTGGTTCCAATGTATCTAGAGGGTCACAGACCTCCATCGTTTTGGTTTTGCTCTTCTTCTTTTTCTTGGCTTTAGGATTCTGAGTTTGGAACACAGTATCATCGGCTTTTACCTCTGCACCGTTTTGTGGTTCCAATGTATCTAGAGGATCACAGACCTCCATCGTTTTGGTTTTGCTTCTCTTCTTTTTCTTGGCTTTAGGACTCTGAGTTTGGGACACAGCATCATCGGCTTTTACCTCTGCACCGTTTTGTGGTTCCATTGTATCATCCTTGGATTTCAGACGACCAATAATCACAGCACTAGCAACATTTTCCCCCTCTATACTCATCAATTTTGATCCTTCAGCTTCCGAATCAAGGCTAGCAACACATTTCGTTGTAACCTCTGAATTGGTATCAACACCACTTTCCCTCAGAGCATTTCCAACTTTGTCTTTCTTTCTTTTCTTTTTGTGTCTCTTTCTCTCAGAACAAGTCATAGCATCTGACTGGACATCATCTCGTGTTGACGAAATTGGGTCTGTAAGAAGTTGTGCAGCTTCAGGCTTTTCAAAAGAATCCTGAGCTTGTTGGCACGAATCTTCTTGTATTGTAGTGTTTGACAAAGGATTCTTGGGTGGTGGATGCACTTGATCTTCGTTGGTGGTTTCTCCTGCATCATCAAACATTTTCTCTTCATCCACAGCATCCTTTTTCTTCTTGTTTCTTCTCGATCTTTTACTCTTGGAACCATTCCTATTAGCTTCTGGTAGAGAATCTTCTTTCGTTGAAGAAATTGCGTCCATGCGAAGTAATGTAACTCCAGGCTCTTCAACTTGATCCTCACTGGTGGTTTTCTCTGCTTCCTTCTCCTTTCTTTCTTCAAATGAAGCTGCCTCATCTGCCTTTCCATTTTGGTTATCGATATGAGAATCATTGCTCTTCAACTCATGTTTCTTTCTCCTTGACTTCCTCTTCTTTTTCCCCGGTCGATTCTTCTGCTCATCACTCAATTCCATATTCAGCTGGCACTCGTTTGAGTTCAAAACACCAGTTTTTGAAACTGTTTCCGATGAAACAGTCTCCATGATTCCTTTGTTTTACTCAGATATTGCCTTCAAATCAGCTGCACATTTAAAACTGTCCAGGGAAACATTTCTTAAGTTAAGCACACGTAAATGATTCACACACACAACAGAAAATTCCATGTGAAAACAACAAAGAAAACATGTACTGTATGTATAAAGCTGCTGCCTCACATAAGTCCACCAAAATCTACTGCTAAATAGACTAAACAGAGCTCCATCAATCTCTAGTATAGAAAAAAAAGTGATTCAAAACCGAGCCAAAGATTATGCATTAAGAAGTGAACCAAACGTAACCAACCAAATACTTCATAAGAGAAGCAATGCATCAAGAAAATACGCACTCTCTAATACCATTTCTCTTTAAAACATGATGGGGCAGTGTTCTTTATCCTTAAAAAGCACGAAAAGCCAATGCTTTAGCAAAACCCGTTAGCTAGAGGAAATCAGATTCAAGCATACACGAGGATACGGCAAACATTCCCACATACATATTGGCAACTCAACCGCAACAGTGGCTTAAACCCAAAACCCATAAATCGTTGGTAAATTGTCAACCTTGTTCCTCCGGAGACCGACTCGGATCTTAAATCTCAAATTGCAAACATAAATCACCCTCTAAGAAGAGATAGCTATAGCAGCAAGGTATCAACTTCACACTCTTTTTTCTACACACAGATAGAAGAAAGGCCAATGTCTCAAAAAAACCGACAATCGCATCAGAGAACTTTCCCGGCGGCGGCACAATACAAACTCGCGACGATAATTTCTACCAAAAGCATTGAACGATAAAGGGAGCAATAACGGAAGACAGTTTTGAATTAAAATAAAAGGAACAGCAGAAGAGATAACCAGGAAAAAAATCGAATTCAAAATGGCGAAGAGTGAGTTTGAGGAAGACGAACGTTCACAAGAGAGGTCGGCGAATTCGAGAGCAAGGGCAAACTGATTAAACCTTCCCGGTGTAATTAATGTAACTATTGTTCCGTTTTGGTTTAATTGAACCGGTTTACTAACGGTCAAAACGCCGCGTTTAGGCTCTAAGCTTTTAGGGTTTGGATCAGCCATTGATTTTTGCCACACGGAAACAGAGCAATGATGAGGGTAACGTGCAGCCGAATTCTCAAGTTTTCGAAACCCTACTTTCTGTGGGGGACGCAGAGCTCAAGCCGTTGCTTCAATTCTCGAGCCTTTTCTCAAAATGTCATCACAAAGAATATCGCTTCGTCGCAGAATCGAAGATTAGTTCAATGTAGTCGACTTTCTTCTTCCCAGTACCATGCTCAGATGGCGGCTTATGATCATCAGTCAGTGACGATTGAGACATTTGATGCTCTGTGTGAAGAAGGGAACGTAGTAGAAGCCGTAGAAGCTGTGAAGATCTTAATGGATGAAGGCTATGTTGTGGACTCGCCTAGGCTTCTAGGGTTAGCGAAACTGTGTGGTGAAGCAGAGGCTTTGGAAGAAGCTAGGGTTGTTCATAGCTGCATCACTGCTTCGGATTCTCCTCCTCCTCCTTCAGTTGTCAACAAGATAATCGAAATGTATTCGAATTGTGGATCCACCGAGGAAGCGTTGAGCGTGTTCGAGGAAATGTCTGAGAAGAATTCAGAGACGTGGTGTGTTATGATAAGGTGCTTAGCGGAGAACGGATATTGTGAGCGCGCGATCGATATGTTCACTCGCTTCAAAGAGGAAGGGAACAAACCCGACAAGGCGATTTACAAAGAGGTCTTCTCTGTGTGTGCTTCGCTGGGTAACGTGAACGAGGGGTTACGTCATTTTGAAGCTATGCACAGAGACTATGGCATCGTCCCTACAATGGAAGACTACGTGAGCGTTACGGAGATGTTGGCAGCGAGTGGTCATTTGGATGAGGCATTGGAGTTTGTTGAAAGAATGACCATCGAACCGAGCGTTGAGGTTTGGGAAACACTGATGAATCTCTGTTGGGTTCATGGAGATATAGAGCGTGGAGATAGGTTTGCAGAGTTGGTGAAGAAACTAGATGCCACAAGGATGAACAAAGAGTCCAGCGCTGGTCTCGTAGCAAAGAAAGCATCAGATTCCGAGAAAGAGAAACTAAAGGAAATGATGAGAACTCAGAGGAAGAAAGATAGGCGTCCAGATACATTCATAAATGCACATGTTAGTCTACATCAGTTTAGTGCAGGAGATACTTCACACCCAGGGAGTGATAGAATCATGGCTGTGTTGAGGAGTTTGAAAGTGCACATGTTAGAGATGGGTTTTGTCCATGATTTTAGGGTATATCTTCAAGCCATGGACGATGAGGAAAAAGAGCAACAACTTCTTTTTAGAGGCGACAAGCTTGCATGTGCTCAAGGAATCCTTACCTCATCGGCTCGTTCTCCCATAACTATTATAAAAAATTTGCGTACCTGTAACGATGGCCACAATGCATTGAAGATGATCTAAGTGATAACTGGTAGAACACTGATAAGCCGAGATCAAAAAAGACACCACCATTTCAAAGACGGGGTCTGCTCTTGCAAGGATTACTGGTGAGCTCTTTGGTTCTTGGTGCCCTATCATCTTCTCAATCTCAATGGGAGATTTTGTTGGAGATTTTCTTCCTCATAAGTCATTTTTATATCAGATTTCTAGAATATGACTGAATGGTTTTTGCCCTGAAGTTCATCTGACAAATGTTCTTTCTTCTTACGCAACATCTCCTTTTCTTCCATCTCTTGTTCAACTTTTCTGACCACTAAACAAAACGCTTCTGCATTTTCCAGCGTCATTCTCAGCATCAGTGCAAAACCCTTTAACTTCTAATCGGATTCACAACACATTTCTTTCTTTCTTTTTTGGTCAAAAAGAAAATGATTGATTTCTATTGTGGAAAAAAAAAAGAACCAGGAAAGCCAGAATTCAAGAACTGTGAGAGGAAGCATAACATTGCTTGAAAGTTGAAATTAAACAAAAAAAGGAAAGACGAAACAGAGCATTTGCAGAGCTCCAGCTTCCAAGAAGAAGAAGAAAAAAAAGCCTAACTCAGAGTGAGCTTTGTCCTCATCCTCACCAAGTCACCACCAAAATCTAACTTCAGATTCTAAACCCATCCTTTCTCCAGGCTAATGTACAGCAAAAGAAATGATGTCATAGCTGTGGTTGTTCCTCTGTGTATCGCACTGAATCTCTCGCTCATCTGCAAATCAATTGTTCAAAGGAACAGAGTTAGACAAATATGGTTTTAGATGCAATGGCTTCACCACTTGTTGTGTAATGGTAAAGCATTTTAAAAGACATTAGCCCACCTTTTTGTTTTCTTTAGCTACGACTCTCCAGCTCCGGTCTTACTAGCTCCAACATCAATCGATATCGCATTTCTAGATTCTAAAGACGCTTCATCTGTCTGATCAACTGAAGATGGAGCTGCATTCACAGTACCCTGCACACACAAAAATCAGTATTTAGCATAATTAGGCATGTCATGAGAAGGAAATGACTAAAGAAAAGTTCTTGAGAATATAGTATAAAAATCACCATATCGAGCTGGCTTCCATCTTGGTTCTTGACATCAGATGTAACAACAGCGGTTTCCTGTGGTGCAACTGCTGATGTGTTCATGTTAACATCCATAGGGTTCCTGATGGGACCAATACTAGCCTCCACGCCGTCCGATGGGGAATCTTTGGATTCAGTAGCATCAGCTTGATCCTTGTTCAACGTTCTTGGTATTTTTGATCTGTTATCCTGATCGCCATTCAACATAGCTGGCCTCTTTCTGCACAGCCAAATAAACATGTTCACAAAACAATGCACCCAACAGAAAAAAATCCAAAAAGAAGAACTTAACCACTCACCTACTAAAGCTTTGATCAGTCACCAGACCGGAGCTGTGCTTGGTTGAAAACAAAACACCACGAAGCACTTTTCCATCTATAATTGTTTCTATACTGTAACCAACTGGGAAACTCTCGGTTACTTTGGCTTGAAACATCATCTTTCCTTGCTCAAATTGGCCAGTGTTCAGATTGAAACTCCCTCTTCCTACAACAAAAGCAATCATACACAGGGCTAGTGATTTTCTGCTACAAGAAAAATACTACCTTTAAATGTTTCAATCTAGTCTTGACTAGCACAGAGTTTCTCTAAACACACCTTGATGATGATCCATATCGATTGGGACAAGAGATTTATCGTATAAGGAACTAGCGTGACTCTGTTCTTGGCATTTTATCTTCAGTTGCTTCTTTAGAGACATCCCCCCTACATTCTGATCAAACCTTGCATCATATCCAAGCCCTGTTAACCAAAAGTTAATAAACAATTAGAAAATAAATGCCTCAAAATTTGGTAAGTAGCAAGTTGAAAAGAAGTTTGTGGGAACCTGTGTGCAAGTAGAACATGTCATCTAGTGCCTCTAGGTTTTTATTGCAGCCACCAACAAAGACGAGAAATCCGGCTTTGTGAGGATCTAAACAAGCCCCTGCAGAAGAGAACCTAGCAGATGGCCCTTCTCCCATGGTGAGAATCTTTGACCACATACATGTATCTACAGGTAAGAGCGACAAAGAAACAGAAAATCAAACAATGTGAGTATGTGAAATTATCAAATCTCAGAGACAGAGAAACCAATATGACAATGATACAGCCTTTGGTATTGAAAAGTTAGTCTCAGTTGACTTACCGACATCAAGCACATAGAGGTCATCATAAAGATTCTGAGCATCTGTAAACCCTCCAAACACAAATAACTTCCTCCCAAGTGAAACAGTGACATGACCAGCTCTAGGTGTCAACAACTGCCCTGAAGTATTCAGCTCCTTCCATATGAATGTATCTGAAAGTCAAATTGTAAATCTCACTTACATTTCCATCATACAAGACACACGAAGAAACTTGAATTGAAGAAATGCTTCTGCACCTGTATCAAGGATATGAACATCGGACAGATAATAGTCATGCCCATCTTCACCACCAATAACAACAATTTTGTTCTTCCACGATGAGCAAGTGTGGCTATCTCGTGCAGATGGAGGATTCCCAATCGTAGGAGCACGTTTCCACACAAAAGTCTCTACACAAGCGTAAAGCCGATTAAATTACTGATATGGAAAACCACTGGTTTCATTTTATCTCAACTTAGCCTAAGATTTACGATCAATCAATGCATAAGAGATGATAAGATTCAGGAGAGCCATGATACCTGTGTTGAGTATGTAAAGATCATTATAATAGATATCGTCATTAATATCAGAAGATTTCCCACATCCACCAAACACAAACAGCCTTTTACCAACGAGCGTGGCACTGTGACCTTCTCTTGCCGCAGGTCCCTCTCCCCTAACACTCGGACATTTCCAAGTATGTGAAGCTATTAACCAACAATAGAAACAAACACAACAACTGAGAATGACATCCTCGGACAGGGAGAAGCTAAAACTTGAAAATACACAACGAACAAAAGATGGATGAGAGCTTACAAGTATCAAGAATGTGCAAATCACTGAGAGGGTTTACTCCATCAGTACCACCAAACACGAAGAGGTTGTCGCCGACTGTTGTACAGCTGTGGCTGTCCCTAGCAAGAGGCGGTGAGCCATTGATCATTGGCTGAGTCCATATCTGCTTTGCTGCAACAAAGATTCACCACAATGTGAGCAAGTAAACCACAACAGACCAACTCAAAACTCATACCAATACAAAAGAAAAGCTCTTCAAAACCGAAATGAGGATAAAGGATTAAAAGACAAAAAGGATTTCAGTATCAAATGTGTATAAAAGGAAATTAAGTCATTTCTCATACTAGGATTAAAATCTCATCAAGGTGTAGTTTCTAATCCTCAAGGACACATGCAGGATTAACAAAAGAAACCCTAGATGATTGTCAACATCGTGATAGAGATCAAACGGAAAAAATAGCAAAGATTTAGATTTTTTGCAAATCCGAAATGGGAAACAATCCAATTAGAGATTTTTAACAGAGACGAATCCCAGAGAGAAGAGCGGAAGAAGAAAACTAACCAGCATCGAACACATGGACTTGATTGGTTTGGCAATTATCTCTGCCATAGCCACCGAATACGTAGAGAAAGCTACCTCCTTTAATGGCGTTGCAAGTGTGTCCCCACCTCTTTCCGGGCCCGGAACAAGACTCACCGAGACCCACTTGTTGCTGCTGCTGTCGGACCCTTTCCCACCTCATTTTCCGGGCGAGAAAATTCCTTCAGTTGGGTGAGAAAGTGCGGGAAAAATGAAAGGGGGTTTTATTGAGGAAGAAGAAGAAAATCTGAAATCCAAATTATTTTGTTTTGCCGATTACAGATTGACAAAAGGTGCCTCTTTTATGCTTAGGTCTTTTTCTTTTGTTAACAATGGTTACCGGAAAAATTAATAAAAATGAAAATTTGGCGCAGAGAAAACAAAAAGGCGGAAACTTTTGATGATTAACAAAGCGCGAGCTTCTTTACTTTTCGTATTACGTGGCATATTCTGATGACGTGTCGTATTATCAATGGTAGATTCTGGTCTCCTAAAATAGTGAAATGGGCCCCGAGGCTGAAGGAAATACGTTACAAATATATTTTGTTTTATTTTTTTAAAAATAATTTTATGTGATTGGAATTAATGTTTGAAATGAAACCTAATTAGTCTTACGTTAGATTTACTTCTACTTGTTTTTATTCCTACTATCTAAGAATGTAAATATCAAAATGATCAAATAGATAAATAACTTTGAGAAAATTACCTAAGGTTTTGTGTGATTGTCATGTTTATCTTATGTTCTCATCGGTATTATGAACAAACAAAATACAAATTCATATATCTTCTCTGATTTATATTTTAGCCAGACTTCTTCAGGTTATCGGAACATTTAATTTGAATATTTAACACTATTAAACTTAGGCTATATTATATAGTTCGATTTATTTGATGTAATTTATTTACCTATTTCTTAATTAATGTTTCAATTTCGACGGCAAAGAAAAACACATTAACAAACTAATCTGATTAAGGTTTGCTCTCTCAAAAGTGGATCAGTCAAAGATTAGGTAGGTTCAGCAGCACAAAAGACAGACCAAACTGTTTGGAATTTGGGTAAAAAGAAATGGTAAGTAGAATCTAATAATCTGGTGAGCCACACAGTATGGTCTCAAAGGTGCTAAATCATTTGAAGACTAAGATGACCAGAACCAAACACACAAGGGCAGGTCAAAAAGGTTCAGTAACGGAAGCGACCTCTTCTAATCCGAGCCCAAGCAACGGCTGCAACAGCAGCTCCTCCCAAATGAGCCGAACCTGATATGTTACTGTTCCCCTGCAATGTCCAAATTGTTTGTTGTTTGTTTAAGAATCAATCATCAGATTATTCCAACACAAGTTTTGAACTTTGGAAATTAACATTACCTCTGCTATCCTTAAAAGGTCTTTTCCTATGATAAAGATTCCCTGAAAGATAAAGAAGACTGACATTTAGTTGACTTGAGAAGAGAAGCTTAAAGCTGACATGATGATTGAGACAGAGAGCTAGCAACTTACAAGTAACATTGCAGGAACTGGAATGATAAATTCAAGGTATAGAGTAGCTTTTGGGTGCAGGAAGATATCTAGCAGCATGATGGCATTCACGGCTCCACTCGCTCCCTTTTCATGACACAGAAAAAGAGTTTCTCAGATCATTCTCACTTGAAATCCAACAAACAGAGAACATTGGCTCTTTAGATATGTCAAATTCATTTCACTCCATGCTCTCTTAATAAAACAAGTACATTCAAACATATTACATACCAGTCCCGGTGTTCTAGATGGATCCCTCGCGAAAGCTCCTTGGCCCTGTCCACCGCATATGATTAGTCGCCCAATATATAAAGGTAAAGCCTTTCCACATTAGACTATAATTCAAGCGAAAACAAATCAGCAAAAACTAACTTATCTGAGGAAATAGCATTCTTTGAGATAAAGGAAGCTAATTAGACTTTTTTTTATGCTGGTTGCTTTATACCTTGGGCGATGACACAGCCAAATAAGCATGGTGAATCAAGTAGAAAACAGAGCCACCAAGCGCTCCAGCAAGGTAGAGCTTCAAAAGGAACTGAGGGCCAAAGTTTCTTGCGATCTATCAAAGAGAAGATTCAAAAAAATGAACACGTAAACAAATTACTATCTCTGCCAAAGTTAGCTGTGACATTAGCTAAAACCGGAAAAGTTTGTAAAAAAAGAGTCCTTCAATCAAATGCAGCTGCGTCATCTCAGTTGTAAGATGTAACAGTAAGTAAGAAGCTCGGAAACAGTTGTCTAAAACATGCTAAACCCTGCTTCACTCGACAAATACAAAAATCATAGAGGGAAAAGAAGTGTACACTGGATCCAAAGAAGTAGAGTCCAATCATGTTTGAGATGATGTGTCCAATATCAATATGACTGAATGCTGAAGTTATCAGAGTGTGTAGACGTCCACTCTTGAAATTGTCCAACGATATCTGCCCAAAGATCATCATCACACAGCTTCAGAATGTAAAAAGGCATTGACATTTTGAATGATTCAAGGCCATCATCAATTATGATGTCACCAACATTTCATATAAAGACATCTAGATCCTATTTTCTTCACATCAGGAATCAAAACAAGCATGTACTGAAGAACGAAACCGTCTAGAAAGTTGCAAAAAGCTTTGAGGTCTTACCATGAAATTATTCATCATGAATTGTTGGTTGAAAACTCGCCACATCATAAACACAGCAGTGTTGGATATTATCAGTCCAAGAACAACGTCATTTGCTGATAACCCTTGAAGCCAATGCTTCCTGTCAAAAAGCATCGTTTTTTTCCTCATGAAACAATCTCAGTAAGGTTTTAAGAAATTTGGGAGAGAAGATGAAGTAACAATATACCAGTCACGCCTTTGAGACCCAGAAAAGCCCTCGAATTGGAAACCCTTTTTGGGAAACTGAGAACCGTAGAACGCAACTCTGGATTCCACGAGATTTCCCAATTTCGCGGCTTTGCTCCCTAAAGCGCCCGCGAAAAACCCGCGAATTTTCTCCGATCGGCATAGGAGAGAAGGGTCGAATCGGGTCGCCGGAGGAGACGATGGGCTCGAAGGAAGATAGTGGGTTCGAAAATGGCGGCTCTGGCTCGGTCTGTAGAGAGAAGTGAAGGAGTGATGATGGTGATTCGGGTGAGAATGAGTTGTTGGGTTTGCGAGCCATTTGGTGAGACGTGAAGATGAGTCGACGACGACTCTACGAGAGAAAATCGAATTCATTTTTTTAAGTTCTGAATAGTGTGGAATTTCCCCAAAAACAAAAAGGCGAGACCTTTCGCGTTAAGAACAAAAGAATATCAGATTTTGATGGAAGCGATTCGTTCTTAAGAACTAACTGCTGGACATGGACTACTGTGTAATTATTCACATGGAGGAGAGAGGATTCAATTGGCAGAGTAATTTTGCAGCTTTGATGTTTTCGTGTAAGAACTTTTTTGATGTCATGGAAAGATGATGTTACAGGCTTCCAATTATATTGTTTCTTTCATCGCTCGTTAATACGCTAATAGGACAAAAATCGAAATTAGTTTTTTCGGAAAGAGAAACTAATTCATGCAGGCATTGTGAAAACAATAGTAGCAACTATACTTTTAATTCATGCTAATTTGAACAAAGCAACATACAAAATTGGTGGTATCCATAAGTCAACAGTGTTCTCTTTATCTCTTATCATCTCCTATAACATTTCATGTTATTTCAGTCCAAACAACAACCCAATTTTGTAAAACAAACAAAATGTAACCATTTTCGACAATAATTCATTTTAGTAACTCAAAAGTGAATACACAATTGCACGTAATGTGTTTTTTTATACGCACTTAACGTTAACAAAAACACTAATTTTGCTTAAATAATTATCATTTGATCTTCCCTTTTGCTCTTAGTGTAAAGTGTAAACAGAGGTTGCTCTGTTTTTTCTCATTCGTTCTGCATATTAAATTGCTGAAAAGTTCATTAATTTATGACCAATAGGAAAAATCGAATACATATAGTGATAAACACACTCAACAACAACTATTCCACTCCGCCACAGATGCAGAAGAATCACACGATCATATAGCTTGAAAACAAGACAAAAAGAGATCACATTCATGTTGTCGAAGAAAGAAAACTAGTTCCTTTAAACTTCTCCTCCATCAATCCATCAATCCGAGCCACCATCTCCGTCGTCAGATAATTCTCCCAATCCCCAACTTTCCCTTTCCTGAAGTAAGCACTGTTTGCATAAACAGCAGGACGGTCTTCTCTATCTTTCTCACCTTTATTAGCTTCAAGATTCTTCAGATTCTCAAAGCTACAAAGCTTCACAACTTTCTCAACAACCTTTTCTTCCTCCTCCTCCTCCGTGAATCCGTATCCCATAAACTCAGCTAATCTCTTCACGTACGGCAACGGATCAGCTCTCATCGTCTCGTACTTGAGAAACAGAATCTGGTTTGGGTTTGCTTCGTGAGCCTTCCAATACCCTAAAACATGGTCGAGATAAGGACCGTACACAGACAAACCTTGACAGTAATTGTCAAAAGCTTCCTCGAGGGTAACGAGAGCTCCTTGTTGTGATCTCTCCTTGTGAGCGAAAGTCCACATGGAGACAAACGTGTCCTTTGGGTCTCTCCAGATGTAAACCATCTTGCAGTCGGATTTCACGACTGATTCGGGTAAGAGATCGTAAGGGATGTGAGTGGAGAAGAGCGTGTTTCCTTCGTCGTTGAGGACATCGACGCTTGGGAAAAACGGGAAGTCGATCTCGATGTAAGGCACGAACTCGTGTGGGTTGCGTTTGAGAAGAGGGTTTGTGGAGTCGTCGAACTTTGACCGGTTTGCGATCGCGAAGGTTAAGGCTTTGAGCCAAGTGGTGCCGGTTTTCGGGTAGCTGCAGACGAAGAAGTCGTTGGGTCGTGCTTTGAAGAAGCTCTGCGCGTGGAGTAGACCTTCGAGGAGAGGTTGTAGCCACCAGTGACCACCGTATTCGACGAACGGCTCTTTTTGTCGCCAGCCGTTTTCGTTAGGAAGCGTAGCGATGAGTTCTTGATATTGTTTCTGGTTCTTCTCGAATTCTGATGGTGGTGGTGGTGGTGGTGGTGATGATGCTGTTTCGGTTGAGTCGTGATTCGACGACACTGACGCAACGACGCCGTTTAAGGTTTTGGATTCCATGATAGAAAGGTTACTCTGTTTTCTGTGTAAATGAAGTGATTGAGAGATGACTAGTTGTTTGTTATGATGCTATATAACATGTTTGTTGTTTGTTATAATATATAGTTTGTTGTGAGGAATATACAAAGGGAATAGGTTGGTGAGGCTGTAATATTACCAACAACGTTTTACATGTGAGATTCAGTTGCTGGTTTGGTGACTTATGTGGTTTCTTTTTTTCCGTCTGTGTGTGTTGAATTTAAACTTTCTAACGTAACTGACTAACTGTCATAGTGTCATGTAATAAAATTATTTATCAAGTGGTTTCATAAGTTTTTATGTTTTGCAAGTAAAAGGATGTTTTTACATAAAAAAAAAAAAAAAGTTTCAACTAGAGTTGATAATTCTGTGTAATTTGGAACAAAAACATGAAATTGTTATGGACACTCTACTGTATGATTATCAATTTATATTCAGAATCAGACCATGAGAAGAGAAGAAGAGACTTCATACAAAATCTGAATCTGATAAAACTTTCTGAGATCTACAATATTCCAAAAACAAAAAAGAATCTTTAAGATGTATAAGAAATCAAGAATATTCTGATATGGATTAGTCTCAAACTCTCAAAAGTCTGTAGCTTTAAGCTGTGACACAATCTTGTAAATAAGGATGGTTCGAGTCCAAAAACCTTAACCAGAAAGGTTTATACCTAGCAATAGCCAGCTTTAGCCAAGGCTTCATGTTACCATTATAGTGAATCACAGCAGCGGTTTCAATCAAACGGTTATCGATGTTCACATCGTAACCTAAACCTAAGACATGCCATCTTCTGTCTAGCGGCTCAGTGAGACCATAGAAAGCCAATAGACCCGGAGGGAGAGTCCCGAGTTTCCAAAGCGTTCGATCTATGTTCTGCTCTTGCCAGTAATGGTACCGAGCAGTCACGTTCGCTTTCCTCCAAGCGATCAGGTCAAAAACGTTCATGCCAAAGGCCCATCCACATGCTTGTGGGTCGAACTTCGAGCTGATGAGTGGGTCTGAGAAGTTTAGATACTTGTAATAACGGTGAAAGGCTTCAAGACATGTCTCCACAGCTCCATTGACGTTTCCGTGGAGATCCAAGGAGAAGAGTGGAGTCAAATCTTTCTGAACAACAACATCGTCGTCTAGGAAAACGATTTTCTCTAGCTGCGGATAGATCTCGGGGATGTAGAATCTGAGATGGTTCAGTAATGACAAGTACTTAGGGTTCCTCACCTTTGGCTCGGAATTGGTTTCTTGACTTGAATGGTCACCGAAATAGTAAGCTCTTGAATCTGTATCCAGCAGTTGCTTAACAACAGGAGAGTATGAAGCATTCAGCCAAGAAAACTCCTCTATGCTCCTGATCTCTATAGCTGAGCCCTTGAAGTCATTACTTAGAAACCAAGCCTGCATAGCTTTGTAGCTCACTCGATTCGTCACTATGTGGAACACAAGCTGTTTCGGGTGATCTGCACTGGAGACAGTTGAATTAACAACAACAGAGGCGGCTATCACGTTATCAGTGAAGATACAGAAATGGTAGAGGTTGTTGTCAACAAGTCTAGGTGAGTTTTTGTTCTCCTCTGCGACTTCATGGCGAGATGGCTCCGTTAGCCAATCAGACGTGAGCTTGATCATCAAACAGTGGAGGCTCTTTGGTATTGCCTCAGCAACCGTCTGCCCAAATATTGTGGTTTGAACGGTAGCTGCGTTTGCACGCTCTTCAAGGGACTGTATGTGAGATTTCATAGTCATCATTGTGGTGGCTATGTCGTAATGAGCATCTTGCGCCTTGTATATAAGAGCCGAGAGACCACTGATAATAAGTTTTGCCTCGTCTAATAAAATTGGTTGACCTCTCATCGCTGATTTCGATAGCAGAAGCTGACATTTCCTGATCTTAGAACTCAACTCCCAAGCTAGATGAAGATTATTGTGCTCTTTGGCTATAAAAACATAGGCCTTGGCAAGCGTCATTTGCTCTGCTAACTGCCTAGCGAACGAGGAAGCACTTGTTACCTCTTCCGTGAAGTTTAAACGGGGAGGAGCTACCTTTTCGATTCTCGCGTCTCTCTCCTGTTAAAGACAAGAAGGTCAGAGTAAGTTATCCAAAAGACACTACCAATCTTATACAGTGAGTATGATAAAAAAAGACATCCATATTCTCGAGCCTATATGTTGTGAAAGAAAATATTTCTACCGAACTTCTCTTGAAATTTGGCAAATGAAATTAACATGAAGATCACCGATTTGTGATATAAATACTGCTTGTCTTTTTACCAAGAGAGCTTAACTTAACACAAATCATTCCCATGTAAAACTCTAAGCTATGGACAAAAGAGCCTTCAAACATTTTCTCTCTCATCAACTCGGACTTTTTTCTTGTGTTTAGACTGAACATAAATAATAAACCTTTAGGTATAAACATTATCAAGAAATTTCAGTCCTTCAAGAGATTAGCCTACGCATCATCGTACATAAGACATGCTCTGTTTTATGAGCATTTGCACTCACACAAAGAACACATTTTTCTTTTTTAAACAACACACTAAGAACAAACAAAACCAAAAACTAGCAAAGATTATGAATAAGAACCTATAATAGCCACAATATGATTATGGGTTCGTTGGGAGCCAAAAAAAAATCATTCATTTGAAAAAGACTTCAGCTCAGCAACTTCACTAATTCCATAGTTAGAGAACCGATACGAATAAGGATTTTCAACTTAACAAAATCAGATTACAATTCCAGTGGATTCACCAATCTTTTGTCAGCACAACAAGATCCAATTTTTTTTCACGACGGATGATCCAACAGAGCAAAACTCAAATCTCAGCAATCAATCGATATCGAATTTAAGTCCCAAGGAATAAAGAGAGAAAGACATACAACTATTAGCTGAGATGGATCTTGTTGTTGATGATTATGCTGAACCACGAAGAGAACCAATCCAGCGACGGAGAAAGAGCCAAGGAGAATCCAAATCCAACTGGGCAATCTCCTTCTAGCTAGCCGCCGGTAATCCGCCGGCCGCCGCCTCATCTTTCGCTACTCCACCCGCCGAATCCTCCACGGTTGTATCTTCCTGGCCAGATTCTGAATCGATTTTTTTTACAGTAAACCCAGATTTCGAGCAGAACCCAAAGGAATTTCGAAAATCTGCCGACAGAGAGATCCACAGGAGAGGAAGTGAATCTATCAAAGAGTGAACAAGTGAGTTTGAGGGGTGAATGTATGGGATTGTGATCTGCTTTTCGCTTTCCTTTCCCGTTTCTTTGAGTGCATCGAAATCGAATCGAATGGTTTTCTTCACTGTCCAAAAATGTAACGTTTGTAGATCTCATTTTATTGGCTACTAATGACTGTAGATAAGCTTGCTTACCGATGCTAATTTTGTTTTCCAAAATTAATCTTAGAAAATATTTTGTTTACAAATGAGACCGTGAAATAGATAAAATGGAATTGACACCCTATCACACATTCACATTCACATTCACACTCAGTTGGTGTTAAATGGATTTGTGTTTCTCATAAAGAAAACATAGATTTGTTGTTAGTTTAGGAGTTACTAAAAACTTGATAAGAGTAGAAATAACATTTTTTTCTGTTGGATCAGAATCATAGTATATCTCTTTATTTTTTTACTTAACTAAAACAGAGTTGTCGAGAACATATGATGTCACTTCAGCAATGGAATCAATTGGCTAAATGTGGAACAAAATCAAATGTAACAGGGCGGAAAAAAATATATGAAAAGTTACAAATGTAATTTGAGTCGGTTTATAAACTTCTGAGTTTATAATCTCAAATGTAATCTTTGTATTCTTTTCTGACAGTTACAAATTTTTAATCTCAAAAGTTTAAGTTCTTAAAATAACTCTCTTTGTCAACTCTATCTTCGCATCTTAACGGGTCATTTTGGTTGGAAACAAATAAGCCAATGGCCCAACTTTCATTTTGGATTCGAACTATTGATATTTCCTCTCAAATAGGGAATCAAATGGACCGATGTGGAGAAAGAAGAAAAGTCATGCTTACAGACAAGTGGCAACATGTACAAAATTTAGAGTTTACAACTCAAGAACGAGTCAAACAAAATGTAAGCTAATGAGAAGAGGTCGCTGAGTCCGAGTTGTGGCCTTGTGGACATGGAAACATGACGAGCATACATATCTCGAGAGCACATTTTATTTAATTATTATATCTTTCGCCCATATACTTTGAACAGAAAGGAGAGCCTACCTTGAAAACATGATGATTAATTAGATAAATAAAATAATACGTGTATATGGTTAGTTCGCTACTATATTAGAATTTGTTTTTGTACCATTAATTGCCGTTACGTCATGGTATTTTGAAACGTCAAGATTCATACGCCAGGAGTGTAGCACTACCATAGAGTGCTAACTGACCGGCAATGACACTTGTGACGACCAACCACATGCTCTTGTAGTCTTCTCATTATTTATAAGAATATATGAATTTCAAATCATAAAATTATAAGGATACATTTAATATTTATCCAGATACTAAATCAACCCTTTAGATCGACAATCAGATAAATAGTTGAGGATTAAAGGAGAAAGAGAAAAAGAAAATCAGATGGCCCGGTTGATGAATGACTACGTAGTGTACATGATCAATCATAATCATTCGTAGAAGCAACCCTCGCGACACTTCAATTTTTTTATATGGTAAATCGACCGACGTCCACGAACAAACGAACATCCATATGAAACAACAAATGTAGAATTAAGTATTCAACTGACTTGTTTATTCACGATCTCAAACTTGGGTATTTATACAATATGTCTTTGGAGTTATGTAACCCTAGACTCCTAAATACAAGGAAACTTAACTTTATCACAACATAATGAATTAGGAAACTTAACATAATGAATCATTATACTTAACCGACGTAACTATCCGTAATACTCCCCCTAAAGTTGGAGCGTGGAGATTATGAACGCCCAACTTGGATAATAGATACTGAAATGGAGCACGCCCAAGTGCCTTTGTAAGTATGTCAGCCAACTGCTCCTCTGTTCTCACATGATCAGTCACAATAACTCCTTCTTGAACAGCATCCCTTACAGCGTGACAATAAGATTCAATATGTTTCGTTCTCTCATGAAAAACTGGATTGGAGGCAATGTGAATGGCCGCCTTATTGTCACAAAACAACCGTGTCGGCTTTGACTGATCAATACCAAGTCCGGCTAACACTCGCCGAAACCACTTAATCTCACGGAGAGCCACAGCCATTGAACGATATTCTGATTCAGCGGAAGAATGAGAGACCATGTCTTGTTTCTTTGTTTTCCAAGCAACTGGGGAGCCACCAAGTAAAACCACGAACGCGCTAAGAGACCGGCGAGTTAACGGACACGAGTTATAATCAACATCACAATAGACCGTGAGGGTAAGATCAGGATCAGACGACAAGAAAATACCCTGGCCAGGAGATCCTTTTAAGAAACGAACAACACGCAAGGCTGCTTCCCAATGAGCCACTTTTGGTTCCTTCATGAATTGAGACAACAGGTGAACAGAGTAGCACAACTCTGGTCTTGTATTGAGTAGATATATGAGTCGGCCCATGAGCCGCCGATACTTCTTTGGATCATCAAGAAGAGGACTCTCGACCGTAGATAACTGATGTGTACTCTCAAGTGGTGTTGTGGCTGGCCGAGAACCAAGATTGCCAGTTTCGGCGATAATGTCTAACGCATACTTGCGTTGGGAAAGGAACATACCCTCGGGTCCTCTACTTATTTCGATGCCCAAAAAATACTTCAGTTTCCCCAAATCTTTCATGGAGAAACATTTACTCAAGTAATCTTTAAATTTCTGAATCATGTAGGAGTCATTACCACAAATAATGAGATCATCCACATAAACGAGAACCCGTAGCTCAATGTTCTTGCGCGAGTAAGAGAACAAAGAGTAATCATCATACGACTGATCAAAACCAAAACGAAGCAATGCATCAGAAAGCTTCTTGAACCAGCAACGCGGAGCCTGTTTGAGCCCGTACAATGACTTACGAAGACGGCAAACTTTGCCAGGATGAGAGTGACGAAACCCTGGAGGAAGTTTCATGTACACTTCCTCTTCTAAGTCACCGTGAAGGAAAGCGTTGTTGACGTCCATTTGGTAAACCTCCCAGTTTTTAGATGCGACAAGACGAAGAACAGAACGAACAGTATTCATCTTGACAACAGGAGCAAAAGTTTCATCGAAATCTTCTCCTTCAATCTGATGATTGCCCTGGACAACTAGCCGAGCCTTGTATCTCTCGATAGTACCATCAGAATTATACTTCGTCTTGTAAACCCAAAGACAACCAAGAGCTTCTTTGCCAGGAGGTAAATCACAAATATCCCACGTACGCTTTTGTTCAAGCGCATCCACCTCAGTTCCCATAGCATCGTTCCAGACCTTAATTTGAACAGCATCTTTGAAGTGTTTCGGTTCATCTCCCGCAGTAATGGCAGCAAAGAACGCACGTTGCCCTGGTGAAAAGCATTCATCCGAAATAAAATGAGACAGCGGGTATAGAGATGTACCTTGGACCGATGAGGACTGAGATGTGGGATCGGGAGGAGCGTGATGGGGGTCTTGATTGCACACGACGTTATAAGTGACGTAGTCTCGTAGCTTGACAGACGTGGACCGTTGCCGCTGACCACGACCTAAACTCGGAGCAGCCGCTTCCTCAACAGTTCTCTGTTCTTGTTCTGTTTCTGTGACATGATCTGAGCCAGGTTCTTGTGGATTGACTGTGAGAGGTTCTTGTGATTTTTCTGTCACAGGTTCTTGTGGAATATCTGACTCAGGTTCTTGTGTATTATCCGTCACAGGTGGAGTTTCAGGTAAGACGCTCCCCCTTACAGGAGAAGACATTGGAGAAATAAACCAATCCTCGTCGAGACACGCTGGAGACGAAGACTGTTGTGGCGGAGAAGAAATTGTGTAAGGAAAAACTGATTCCTTAAAGATCACATCACGTGAAACAATGAACTCTTCCCGCTCGAGATCATAAACCTTCCAGCCCTTTTTACCAAAAGGGTACCCAAGAAACACACAACGACGACTTCGTTGAGCAAACTTATCTTTATCACGTGTGGTCCTGTGTGTGTAACATTCGCTCCCAAATACTCATAACTGGTCATAGGAAGGTTTCTGACCGTGTAGTATCTCATAAGGAGAGCGGCCAAGATGAATAGCACAGGGTGTACGGTTAATCATATATGCAGCAGTGAGGATCGCCTCTCCCCAAAACTTGATTGGTAAGTTACGTTGAAACAGCAAGGCACGAGCCACGTTGAGGATGTGTCTGTGCTTTCGCTCAACACGTCCGTTCTGCTGAGGTGTAGCCACACAAGAAGTTTGATGAACTATGCCTTTCTCGCGGAAAAAAAAAGACAGACACATAAATTCTGTGCCATTGTCACTACGCACCATCCTTACTGTTTTCTCAAATTGCTTCTCTGTATAAGCGAGAAAATTCTTCAAGACTTTACTAACTTCGGATTTCTCAAGTAGCAAGTACGTCCAAACTGCTCGAGAATAGTCATCAACGATAGTTAAAAAATAAACAGCTCCCGTAGAGGAAGGCACACGGTATTGACCCCATACATCAACATGAATAAGGGAAAAACATTCCTTTGTTTTATTAAGACTCTCTGAAAACACCTCTCTAGTTTGTTTTGCTCGGAAACACACGTCACACTGACCCGAACAAACAGATTTCGAAACACCAGAAAACAACGGTAAAGAAGAAAGCACAGAAAAGGACGGATGTCCTAGCCGCTGGTGCCACAAAGCTAATTCTGAATCAGCAACAGCTCGATGAATCCTTGCAGCCATGACGTCCTTGAAGTAGTAAACCCCATCACGTTCCTCACCGGCTCCAATCAGAGTCCTCGAAAAACGGTCATGTAACACACAAAGAGTATCAGTAAATATAGCCACTCCACTGGTTTGTTTTAGCAGTTTCGACACAGAAATCAATGTACAATTGAGATCTTGAACAAACAAAACGTTAGGCAATGTAAGATTGGAAGACAGAGTCAAAACTCCTTTACGGAGTGAAACCGTTTTTCCTCCATCCGCGAAGCCGATAGAAATGGTAAAATCGTCTCAAGATTGTGTAATAATGAGAGATTCCCTGTCATGTGATGGGAGGCACCTGTATCAAGAATAACATCACCATAACCTTTCTTACCAAACAACTTGTCTGAACTAGCTTCACCCGATTTCTCTTGAATTAACTTGGAGAGAGCTTTCCATTGATCAGGAGTGAACTCGGGAAAAGAAGACGCATTAGAGCTTGTGGCATGCGCTGCATTAGCTTGACCGCCACCACGGCCAGAATTGTTGACACCAGCTCCACGTCCACCTCTTCCACGACCACCACCACGACCAAACCCGTTATTGCGTTCATTCCACCATTCAGGAAAGCCAACAAGCTGCCAGCAATCCTTCTTCTCATGACCATAACGACCACAGTGAGCACACAAGACATTTTTGTCACGACGGATTGAGTTTGGTACGTCAGAACGCGAGTCAGAACTCTGACTCTGTTCTCGCCGGGACGAGAGTGACACTTCAATCACGCCGTGTAGCAAAACCTCTTGGTTTTGATCACGGAGTCGTGCCGACGCCAATCTTTGCTCTTCGCGAACCACCTTAGAATAAATCTCACCGAGACTTGGCAACGGATCTGCTGCAATGATTCCCGTGCAGAGTCCACCAAATCTCGCATCATCGAGACCCATAACAAATTGATGGATTTTTTCTTCCTCCTTTTCTTTGGCAAAAACAGAGGCAGCTCCACAGGAGCATGAGATCGCTGGTTGATACATCTGTAACTCTTCCCACAAGGCAGAGAGACGACCATAGTACTCAAGAACAGATTGTCCATCCTGTCGACACGCAGCAAGCTGAGACTTAATCTGATGAGTACGCACTTTGTTTCCAACTGAGAAACGTTCCTTGAGCTCGGTCCACAACAAGTGAGCATCCGAGATATACGTTACAATAGACCTAACTTTAGGTTCAATCAACGCTCGAATCCAACCCACAAGCATTGAATTCACCGTCAACCAATTCTCCATATCAGGGATCCCAACAGCTGGTTTCGGAAGGACTCCATGTATGAAACCTAGCTTTCGTTTGGCCTGAAGAGCATTAAGCAACTCCGATGCCCACTTATTATAGTTTTCTCCAGTCAACTGAACCGAAGTTATTAAGGCACCGGGATTGTCAAATGCCGCCAAAGTATATGGCGAAATCGCCTGAGCTCACCAAAAGGCAACACAGCACCACTGTGAACTTGTGTTCCACCGGAACCAACACCTGTATGGTTTCCATTGGAAGTCGACGCATCAACGGGCGGAATGTCATCATCTCCGGCAATATTAAACAAACGAGCAAGATCAAAAGAAATTTTGAGGTTTGAGGATCTTCTACTCTGATACCATGTAGAATTAGGTATTCAACTGACTTGTTTATTCATGATCCCAAACTTGGGTATTTATACAACATGTCTTTGAAGCTATATAACCCTAGACTCCTAAATACAAGGAAACTTAACTTTATCACAACATAATGAATTAGGAAACTTAACATAATGAATCCTTATACTTAACCGATGTAACTATCCGTAATAACAAACAGTCAAATTGAACAAACGCTATTATTTGGTGAGCAAACAACACGAATGAATAGGTATTTAAGGAACATATTAGGACTTTAGAAAGCAAAACATCGAATCTCTTAACTTAGTAATTGCCTATAGGTTAAAAAAAAGTTTCTAAACCTTTTTAATGCGTGAAATAGGATAGTATTTATAGGTGTTAATCCGATCCAGGTTAGTATACCCGATCGCCAGATTTATAGGTCGGATCTTCCACCTTCAGTGGCCGGTTCTCTTAAGTTATAATATCACTTTATTATATATGAAAACAATATCTGGGAAAAGCAAAACCATATATCCAACTTTTTAATATAACACTAGTGAAACAAATATCAGTTTTTTTACTTTTGTTTTGTGCATGGTGCTTTCAAAAGGTTGGAATGATGATAATGCATTTCTTCTTGTCTTTAATCCTTGGAAAGTTCAAAGAATGATCCTCTCACGGTCACACTTGCTTTATGTGGGTCTCATACCTGATTATCGGATATTGATATATAGGGTATATTAAATAATAAATACTTTAGAGAATGACAGATTTTTAGTATATATAAATCGTTGAAACAAGTTAAATAACTACAATTTCGGGAATTTTTTAATCAGTGGAATCCAAAATGGCTATGTTCCAGACAAAATTCCGGATATCGTCAAACTGTTGAATGGTAAAATTTCAGTGTCGTTGATTTTGGGGTATCGTTCGGACAAACAATTTCACCTCTAGGGAGCAAACGTAAATCAAATCCGTTGCCCGTTGGTATATAATATACAGTCGATAGATTACATCGTTCCATACCAGTAACGAGGAATAGTCTGAAAGCCATTCACGGGCGGATGCGGTTTGCCCCAGATGGACGATGCTGTCATTCGACATTAACGTGGATTAGGATTTTTTTTAAATGGACAAGGCGATCTTCGAAATTAAAGAAAGGAGGACGTCTTCCCAAAATATTATTTATTTTACGCTTTAAACTATATAATAAGATCACAACACTGGTGGGAGAATCAAAAACCGAAAAAGACATGGATCGCTTTAGACTAGATCAGCAGGTGATCAGTATATAATTAATACATATATGTTGATTATTAGAATCAAAAAGAAAGGATGTGATATGCTCTCGGAAGGAGATATATAGGGTGAGAAGTATAGAACTATCGCTTGTATATATATACTAAGGGGTGACCCGCGCTTCTCTGAAGTGGCACCACCATAATAGAATTGTATTAAATTTATATATATATATATATATTTGAACCCCTCTTATAGTGTGTGAAATTGAAGAACATTTAGAGATAATGTGAAGACTTTTCCATATTGAAAGTAAGACGGACCTAGAATGATATATAAGAGACATGGAGAATCTACTCATTGTCAAATGGTTTGGAGGAGTTGAAAACTCATAAAACATAACTAACACTAAAATACATGTTTGCCTTAATCTTGACGCATATTTGTAAAGCGGATCTCTATCGGAGTTACCTGTCACTGTCACGTTGTGCATTGGAGCATTGGCTGGCCGACTTTTAGCTGCTCTCGACTGATGTGACTAATAACATCGATTCTCCTGACAGAGTCGATTAGCTTATACGGCACGTTATATATGTCAAGGGAGCGTGAGTCTTTCATTCACCTCCCTATTGACCCGATCAATTTATTGCCTGGATTCGCCTAGTTTGATACGTGCGTGAGTGACCCTCCACGCTGAGAATTAATAGTAAGAGTGTGTAATTCGGAACATAACTCAAAAAAGAAAAAATGTATGTTGTCTTCAAACTGCTCGATTGTGGAACACAACACATGCATACAAAGGTAAAATAAAAGTATACAGTAGTAATAAGTGGTTATATGTAAGAATAACGTAAATCTCAAGTTAGGATAGCTATAGTTGTAGTTTTTTATATTGTTGGTACTTGTTTTGCATGTTCGCAACTTATTACGAATACACTAATATAAATATACTCGCTAATTAAGTAAAACTTATTATTACAATACCCCATCATCGTTTATTTTTCCATCTCAAACGAAACAGTCAAATGTAGAAAACAATTTAAAAAAACACTCACACACACACACACACACACACACACACACGAAAAAACGCATAGATGAAAATACGAGCTACATACTGACATACATGCCTGGTTGATCATCATTATTAGTTGTTATTATCACCATCATCGTCATCATGGTAACATATCCATCGACAGGGTTTATATAGGTGATTATGATCATATATAGTGATTATGATCACGTGGGATTCATCAGAAGATTCACTCATCCAAAGTAGTTTTCAATCTCTTCAAAAGTGTCTTGACGTTCATAGACCGGCGTGACCTCAACGACGTTGTTTTCATCCTCCTGAAGAAACCTCGTAAGTTCTTTCATGAACACACTGTTCTCAACACAAGACTCCTCCAACATCATAAAATCTTCATCATTCAGATATCCCGAGAATCCGATTGTATCCTCATCACCAATGTTATTACCAATGAAATTATCAAAGTACATTAGAGGATCGTTAACAGAGGAATCAGAGAACGTGGACGAAGACGACGTCGGATTCACGTTACCGTTACCGCCAACGTCAAAGATCGATGAAACAGGAGTTGTTGCAACGTACTTCTGGTTGAGAAGGTTCGAGGTTGGTGTGAAGGAAGAGCTCGTTGACTTATCTGATTCCGAGTCAATGGAAACACTTGTAGTGGTAGTAGTGTTACTAGTAGTAATCTGTGGGCCACTACTTCCGATAATCTCAGACAAAACACTCTGATTGATTTTCTTTCCGAAGCTATTAGCTACTCTGTTCAAGAACCTAACCGATGATAATCCTGACTTCGCATTCTTCTTTGCCTTCTCTTTGTCAAGTTCATCATCACTTGTTACTGTCTGAGTAACGTTTTGTTTCTCCAGGATCTCCGGGAGGTTCTCTGATTTGCCGTTGCCGGAGATCAATCCCTTGTGTGTAACCGGATCGATACCTTTCTTGATCAAACGTTTTCTAATATGAGTGTTCCAGTAGTTCTTGATCTCGTTATCTGTTCTTCCCGGTAATCCACGAGCTATAGCAGACCATCTGATTAAAACACCACAAGAATATTACTTTATTAGTCATGAGATCACATTCACATGTTTAGTTTAGTTTTTGTTTTTATGAATAGTAAAAATTGTTCAGATTTTACAAAGAACACAACACAACACTTTCACTTCTTTTTTTGGCGAACATTAATTATCACATTATCACTTCTTTTTTTGGCGAACATTATCACATTATCAGTATATACTGTATTATAAACGTAACACGTTTGTTTATTATTAATTACATACGCACAAAGAAACAAAAGTTTTACTCCTCTCGAATTTACTTAAAAAAAAATGTCTTAAATTAATGTGGAATGCATATATAACAAAAATAACAAAAAAAAAAAAAACTAAAATGGAGAGAGTGACTAACTTGTTGCCGTGAAGAGCGTGAAGAGAGATGATAGAAAGTTCTTCGTCTTCAGTGAACTCTCCTCTTTTGATGTCAGGTCTTAAATAGTTGGCCCACCTGAGTCTGCAGCTTTTGCCGCATCTCTTGAGTCCTGTTATACCATTTAAAGAATTATTATTATTAGTTGAGCAATAATGACCGTAAAAGGCCAAACACTGAATGAATATTCAAAGATGACGGATCAATAAAATAGTAATAAAAAAATACCAGCTCTTTCCGGGAGAGTTCGCCATCCACCTTCGCCGTGACGGTTTACGTAAGAGGTCAGCTTTTGATCTTCCTCTGGAGTCCAAGCTCCTTTCTTTAGCCCTAATTCAGCCTTGCAACATGGTGTGCGCACCATTCTTGATTCTTGATCCTTCTCAGCTTTCTTGATGCATGTACGTGATTATCTATCTTTGATCGAAGGAGTTGTTCTCAAGTGAAACGAGAACAAAGAGAGAGAAAAAAATTGAAAAACCTGAGAGTTGAAACAAAGTGTGAAATGGGGCGTAGGATCATAAGGATTGAGCACATGATCTTTTTATTAAAGAATTCAGACATCGGTAGATCTTTCGTATAGACATCTTGTTCTTTTGCGATACTCGAGATCGTTTTAGCATTAAACGAACAGGAAGACACAGAGATAGATCTCTACTTGCTCTGTTTGTCTTACCACAAGAACGAGAGAAAGAGAGAGAGATTTTAAAGAGTGAACCTTTTTATTAATTTATGAGTTGTTCGTGTCACTAGCAAAGTGAGAAGCTTTGAGAAAGAGGCACCATCTCTATTTATGCGTGCTTGTAGCTGTACATGTGGCTACTCCAAGACGACGTTGTTTTCAGATGCCTAACATGTGGTACATTTTGATTCGATAATGCAAGATTTTCTTTTAATTTTTTTAAAACATTTGCTTAACTTCTGCGAGTGGAAATTGTCGAGATAGACGTCTGATCTTTCATAAAATTCCGTTTTTTAAAAAAAAATTGTCAACAAATAATAATACTAGGAGTCTAAGACAAATATTATACAATATCCATGCCATGCATAAGACCGCCATTTCAGATATTATATTGAGTATTTTCCAACAACATTCGGATGCTGCTGCGGTAAGTAAACTATATTAGCATAACTTACTCTACTATTTATGTCTTGGTTTTTGATCTTTTGTTGATAACAACGAAAATTATAAATAAAAAATTTACGAAAAAAAAAGAATTACCAGGACTATTAATTTCACATCTTTCGGCGCTATACTATAACTCTTTAATAAATTTAGGTCCTGGAATGAAAAAAATAATAACTACTTGCAAAGCAAATTTCGATTAAAAAAGAATAACTACATGCACAGAAATACTATATGTCTTGGTGTTATCAATCTTTCGGCGCTATACTATAAATTCTTGAATAAGTTTAGGTCTTGGAATAGTAAAATTAATAACTACTTGCAAAGTTATAAAAAAATATGTGTGTAACATTGTTTTAGTGGTTCTGGTAAATAGCGAATTACCAAATTATCTTTTGAACGAAATTTGCTTTGCAAGTAGCTATTATTTTTACTATTCCAAGACCTGAATTTATTCAAAATTTTATACTACAGCGCCGAAAAATTTGGAACACCGATTAAATTATAATCCCGTTGAATTTTCTCTTAGATCTATTGAGATATATGTTTGACTAAATAGGTCGGTCCAAGTAAAAGGAAAACAATATTAACGTATTGCCCTATGATAATTTTGAATTTTATCGAACGGGTAAAAAAAAGTTCTATCGGGTTGCGCAAGAAGAAAACTAAACTTATTAACCCGTATGAAAATGGCGAACAAAGAAAAAAATGAAAACCGCAAAGGTACGAGTCGTTGTCAGAATGTATTCAACTGTAAAACATGGAGTGCGGCGAGACTTTTCCAAATACGACTGAAAATCTAAACATATTTTTTTTGTTCAATTCAAAATATTTTTAAAATCATTAGACGACAATATTGTTAAAGAACTGAAAATTCTAGGAAGGTAGTAGCTATACAAAAGTAGTCGTATTTGAATTAGATTAAATTAAGCAACAACTTGGTCACTCAAACACTGGACTTGGACGTATCGAAAACCGATATTGTCAAGAAAAAATCTAAGAAACGAAAAAGATATAGTAATTTATCATTTCGTACAATCGATCAGTTTCCACTTTCCACCATATTATTTAGACAACGCATTAATTAGTCAACATTGTGTTTTTGTTTTTGTTTTTTCAAGTGAATTCAGAGGAGCGATTTTATAAAGTTATGAACCAAGGATAAAACCTTTTTTATGATCTAATGTTTCTTTTCATTTTTTACTTCAACCAAGATAATATATCAATTTGTAAGTTGTAACTTATAACAGACTAATCAATTAAACAGCATGCTAGCCTTGATCGACTGTGAGTCTGTGCCACATCCGGCCTCTAAACAGCATGTAAATATGCGTTTTTTACGGTTTAATTATTGGTTTAACTGAATTGCACACCATCAAATTCCTGTTTCTATAACATGCATGATATCAAAGAACATATATATACGGTTAATTAAGGTGACACCTGATTGGGTTTGCATATATTGTGGAGCGAGCATGCACGAAGGTTTGTGTCACGTAGGATTGGGTTTGCATGAAGTCGTGGGTCCATGTTTTTTACACGTCACTCTATGAGATCAAACAAGTGTCTCCATACTGAGTTTAGATGTTCACGCGTCGTAGCTCTCTTAAAAAACGAAAAAGCAAATGTAATCATTTCATTTTTAGGTTCACGTTATTCAGATCAATAAAATCTACTATAGACAAACTGATTCTAACTCATTCTTTGGGGGATCATCGATACGACAAAATTCCTCACCATGTGTTAGTTTGGGCACAAGACAGCAGCCTCGAAACTCGAAAGGGTCTTCTTGTTCTTGTTATGTTTCTTCGTTTCTTCTCTTTTTTTTTTCTTTCTTTTCCCTTTTCTAATTTCAAAAACGTTGCAACTGATTTGTACAAAAGTTTTTAATATTGAATATATTTTGTTTCCATTATTAAAACTAAAAAGGTATACTATAGATTTATCCTGTTTATTGGCTTAAAATGAACAATCATAATGGAATTTAAATGGGAGAGGAGAATCTAATTTTAACAGTACTTAGCATCACCAGAGAATAGTATACACTATCTGGCGTTGTGATCGAAGAGTGTACGAGATAGAGCCAAAATCTTGTTTTAGAGCATTCCCATTTATGAGCTTTATTCAAATGCTAAAACAAAGAAAAGAAAAGTATTTTGAGTTGTAACCAAGGACAAAGAGATTGTCGATTGTATTTCATAAATATGAAGGAGAGTTGTCACATCCATTGTTATCATTACTGCCTTATTTATATGAACCCCCAATTCCCAAACTGTCTTGACAAATCCTCCACCACTGTGCTGCGAACTTACATATTTACATACATAACACAACTTCATGATAAATGAATGAAACTAAATTATGATACTTATATAGTACATGAACTAAAAAAAGAATATCACTTATGTTGATTTTTGTCTAAGCCTCCAGCAGAATTATCCGCTGCCACAGAGGCAGCTAGCTCCATTAGCCGCTCATAGTCAATCTCAGTAGACTTAAACTTGAGTTTCATACCAGCTTCAATCCATGATCTTATACAAAGCACAGACTGCGTGCTATCATGTGGCATGCAATACTTTTGCTTATCAATCTCTTCTCCTTTACCGCAAAATATCTCTTCCGGTGCACCGGAGGTTGCCTGCACCGCAAGGAAATCACGAGCCATGTTGCAAAGCCGAGGGTATCTTCCGCTGTTTGCCTTCCACCAATCCAACACATCGGTCTGCATCGGAACTATAGACTCTGACAAGTATTGAGTCAGCTCATCAACAACATTGCTACTCATACTTCCCCTTCTCTTCCTTCTAGCGATTTCCTCTGCAAATGAGATATTTCCTCCTCCTCCTCCTCCTCCTACTCCTCCTTCGTCTATGTCCTGAGGACGATACCCACCGGTCAGAGAAGATGTGAAATGAGGAGAAGAATAGTTACGAATGAAATGAGCTCTTGCTTCATCTATATAGCTCTCGAGATTGATCGTCTCCGGAATGTACTCCGTCTTGATGCGCGGGTCAAGAACGGCTGTAATGTAAGTGAACACGTTGCACACTTGGGTGTTGTAACTTCTAGCCTTCTGAGACATGTTTTCAGCACAAGTTCTCAGCCAGTCAGGGTTGTGGCACGATTTCTGGCAAGTAGTGATCATCTCGGATATGTTATCCATGAAGAGCAGGGCTAGACCGACCGTGAGATCCTTGTTCGTGCACATGTCGTTAGTCGTCTTGTGAAACGAATCCAAATCCAAGTAGTTGCGGACAATGGTCACCGCGTTCTTCTCCGTAGAGCTCAACATCATTCTGTTCTCTAGAGCGTCCTCGTTTTTCCTAATCACCGCGTCCAAGGACTTGCCAGCCTGCATGCACCAACACAAGCCTCTCAACTACAAAAAATCTCAGACTTATGAGTGAAAGTATATGAAAGATCTTACCTTGCACAAGATGTTGACCATCTGGTAATTCCCACTCCAACGAGACGAAGCATCAATCGGAAGTTTCCAGTTGCCTTCTTGATAAGCTGTAGTCAACTGAATGAAATCATCTGATAGTTCCATGGACGCGTTTAGCTCCTGTGTGAAGTCTCTAATCTTTGAGATTATAGGCTTTATAGTAGCTAACCCTTCATCTATAATATCATTCAGAGTCTGAGCAGCACAGGGAATGTAGCAGAAAGGCAAAACCTTTTGACCATCCAAGTACTCCTTCAGGCTATGACAAGCGTGAATAGCGTTTTCACTATTGTCATGTGTACAACACAGAACCCTGTCTTCAATGCCATATATCTTAAGGACTTTTAAAAGAGAGCTATAGATCTCAGAACCTCCAGAAGGATAAGGAATCCGAGATATGTCTAGCAACAATCTATGAGAAGACCAGTTCTCGTCTATCCATTGGCCCGTCACGCTCATATAAAAAATGTTTTCATATGAACTCCAGAAGCTTAAGGTGACTGAAACTTTGGATTGGATATGCTCCAAGGATGTCTTTACATCACCACGCATGCTTCTGAAAACCTCGTGCAGTACGGCTTTGTATTTCTCAGCCGGCCATAACTGGACGGCTGGGTTGAGAAATTTGAAGGAGTTCCCTAACCATGTTTCGTCTACAGTAGAGGGAGGGAGTGATGACAGAGCGAGCCACTTGAGAACTAACCAGTTAAGATGATCGTAATCGAGCTGCGGTGGTTTCGAGTTGGATTGTGACGGTTTTAGAGCAACAACTGGTGCTGCCTGTGGTACTGAGGTGGTCACGACCTCTGCAGACTTATCATAGCCTGGATGTCGATTGTTCAAATGCCTTCCAAGATTACCTTAACATTGTAAAACAGAATATGAACATTAAAGGTTACTAAATATCATCAAGAACCTTGAGAAGATATGAAAGTTATACCAGTGGCTGTTGCTATTGAATAGCTTTGTCCGCAGAATTTGCATTTGCGAGTTTTGCTGTCCGGTGCAGTCTCGAAATATTTGAGATACACAGATGTCATTGTCTTCTTGCGTTTAGGAGGAACAGTGTTTGCCTTTTCAGAAGAGCCTAGTCCAATGTCAATGGGGTCAGAGTGTGGAACAAGCGTCATATCCATCATGGTTTTGGACTCCATTTCTACATCAAAAGATATAATCATAAGCAATTGTAGTCTGAGTCTCAATTGTGCAAAACAACAGACGCACTGAGACCACTAAACATCATCACCGGGTTATCAAGTTCCATACTTTAATCACAAAGTATGAGCTCTATGAAGAAGACATCAGCCTCAGATTGATGATACTAGTGATACAGAGTTTCGATTTACCTTTGTAGGTTTTGAATGCGTTGTTTACATTCCACTCCATCTGATTCCAAGCTTCTTTGTCTCTTTGAAGTTCCAGTCTAAGATTCGAGAATTGCAGAGGAGGAACAATCAAATCGGAGGAGCAGTCTGCTTGTAGAGGAAGAGAGAGAGAGAGAGAGAAATGGAGTGAGGAAAAGAGGAAACTTGAAAACGAGCGGATCGAGAGAGGAAGAAGACTAGAGGAAAAGCCGTTGCGCGAGAGGGGAAGTTATTTTTTGGAGGGAAAGGAGAAACAGCCAGTACAGAGAGAGGAGGAGGATCGGCGCTGGATCTCTGAGCCCCAGATCTGAGCCGATTTAAGAGATAAGGATAAAAGCAGGTGTGAGCTTATGGAGACCTACGAGTCGGAAGTCCGTCGATCTGAAGGAACCGTACGACGGCGGATCTGGTGGATTTCGTCGGCGAATTTGACGGAGGAGCTAGGGTGAAGAGGCTGGCTCTATCGCTCGGCTGGTGTTTGGGAAAGGGGAGTTTTCGGAGTCGGGCTCAGCTAAAATGACTCCAGCGAATGGCTCGGTCTGGTTTTGTTTCGGCTTTCTTCCGGTTTGGTTTTGCTAATAGATTCCTTTTACATTTCTTTTAAATTTGATAAAAATATCAGTTTACCTCCAAAAAATGTTATCCTCATCACCCTCAAATTTCTTTTTACATTTCATTAACATGGACCAGATTAAACTATGACTATTTTTTTGCTTATAATTTTAATTAGGTAATCTAGTACAATTTGGGAAATGTGTATCTGATGAGATGATTTGGCTAAATGTGAATGATCAGAAAAAACTAAAAATAGTGATTAGTAAATCTAGTAATTTGGGAAATGTATCTGATTAGATGATTTTGCTAAATGTGAATGGTTAGGAAAAAACTAAAAATAGTGAATAGTATTATTTTGATGGAACCTTACCGAAATTGAACCCGTGTATAACCAAAATAGTGATTAGTATTATGGTTGATTCCCAAATCAAAACGTAAAAAACCAAATACTCACACTTAATAAAAAATATATTGGAAAGCAATGATGTGTCCCATGCCACACTGTCACTCTCAAAGGAAAAAGAAGAAAAACTCTTACGTGGGCCCCCTCACAAGCTCACACCTCGGGCTGACAAAGCAATTTTCTGACCGTTACTCACATTTTCGAAAACCAAATCCTTTTATTTTTTCTTAAATTTCATTTTCTTTCTTCTTCGAGAGTGGAAAAAATATCCAAATACAAGAGTGAAATTAGGAATTATACACACTTCGAAAGCTTTAATTTTTGACCAACGCCGATTGATTCAGTCGTAAATTTTAACTCTAAAGATCTTCTTTCTTTCTCCTTCTTCTCCATTTGATATCTTCTAGGTTTTGGGTTTTAGGGATTAGGATAGTGATAAAATCTTAGATTCAGGGGAAAAAGGAACAGAAAAGAGAAGAGAAATGCCCGTATCTACCCGATCTAAGGTGATGAATCAGGAGCAAAATGGTCATGAATACACAAATCTGAATATTCCGTTGAGAAATCCGCATCAAGGGCTTAAGGAAAAGATGAGAGCTTTAACTCTCTTGTACGAGCAGCAAAAGCGAGCCTCTTTCTCTCTCCGGAATCCTAATCACTCTTCAAAACCCGAAGATCAGAGCTTTAAGGCTCAGCTGCTTGATTCTTGCAAGAAAGGAGATCAATTTCATCGCCAAGACGGTAAAGGTTCTAGCTTTGTTGACGAAGATACCAAAGAGAACAATGTAGCTGACGCAGATCGGATTTTCGGGATTAATTCAGTTCCGGTTAAGCCTACTGGTTCCTCTTCTACTGTGATTAGAAAGCTCTCAATGGGAAATGCAGGTAGAAAAATCGTCACGGAAGCTGAAAAAGGTGAAAAATTGGAGATTCTTGATGCTTGTGGGAGTCGGATTTCGGTGTTTGTTAGGCTTAGGCCAATGGGGAAAAAGGAAAGAGAGAATGGGTCACGATGCTGTGTCAAGGTTTTGAACAAAAGAGATGTTTATCTGACGGAGTTTACGAATGATAATGACTATCTAAGGCTTAAGAGGCTCCGTGTTCGTCATTTCACTTTTGATTCTTCTTTCCCTGAAACCACAACGCAGCAAGAAGTCTATTCCACCACGTAAGTGTCTCATTCCATCATCTCAGTCTCTCATTTCATTGACAATGAAAATGCTGCAAGTTCTTGGTTGAAGATAGATTTAGATGTCTCTGCCTTTGATTTATACAGAACAGGAGATCTTGTTGAAGCAGTACTTGAAGGAAGAAATGGCTCGGTTTTCTGCTACGGTGCTACTGGAGCAGGCAAGACTTACACGATGCTAGGGACAATGGAGAATCCAGGTGTAATGGTGTTAGCAATCAAAGATTTGTTTGCTAAAGTTAGACAGAGAAGCTTAGATGGGAACCATGTTGTTCACCTATCCTATCTTGAGGTCTATAATGAAACTGTTAGAGATTTGCTTTCACCTGGTAGACCTCTCATACTCCGTGAAGATAAACAGGTAAACATTACACTGAAATTACCTTTTTTGTTGTCACTTTTAGCTTTGGATAAGAACACATTGGTCTCATTCATTTGCTTTGCTTTGAATGTGATCAAAATTAGGGAATTGTGGCTGCTGGTCTCACTCAATATAGAGCTTATTCCACTGATGAGGTTTCTTCTCCTAATCTATGCATTTTGATTCTGAAAGATCTTGAGAATCAGAAGCTTAGTTTTTTCGCTGTGATCTATCACAGGTTATGGCTTTGCTCCAAAGGGGAAACCAGAACAGAACTACCGAGCCAACTCGTTGCAATGAAACATCTTCTCGCTCACACGCCATCCTTCAGGTCAGATAGCTCAAATCGATAATATCTTCAGGTTGAGGTTGAGAATGTCTTTAAGTTGATGTGTTGTTGGGATTGTATAGGTCATCGTGGAGTATAAGACTAGAGATGCTTCCATGAATATCATCAGCAGAGTTGGGAAGCTATCTCTCATTGATCTTGCGGGCTCAGAAAGAGCGGTAGCAACTGATCAACGAACGCTTAGATCACTTGAAGGAGCCAACATCAACAGATCACTTCTTGCGTTGAGTAGCTGCATTAACGCGCTTGTGGAAGGCAAGAAACACATTCCTTACAGAAACTCAAAGCTCACACAGTTACTCAAAGACTCATTAGGAGGCTCGTGTAACACGGTGATGATTGCCAACATAAGTCCAAGCAATCATTCGTTTGGTGAAACACAGAACACTCTCCACTGGGCTGATCGAGCCAAGGAGATCCGTTTGAAAGGATGTGAAGTAAATGAAGAGTTTGTTCAAGTGGGTGAAGAAGGAGGAGGGCCTGATCAGGCCAAGCTCTTGTTAGAGCTTCAGAAAGAGAACCGTGAACTGCGTGTCCAGCTGGCAAAGCAGCAGCAAAAGCTTATAACCATTCAAGCAGAGACATTAGCAGCTGCAAATAACAACAAGACCTGTCAGACACCTCCATCAATCTCATCTCTCATGACTCCACCATCTGCATTGACAGCTCAGCAGAAGAAGAAACCGAGGCATTCGCTTTTAACAGGGACTTGTTTCACTCCAGAAGCAACCAAAAAGGGAAAAGCGGAAGAAGCTGTGAAGGAGCTTCAGCTAACTGTCAAGGCGTTGAAGATGGAGATGGAGAGAATGAAGAGAGAACATGGATTGCAGATGAAGAAGCAAAAGGAAGAGTTAACGAAAGATGTTTGTAACAGAAAGAGCGAGAAAACTCCAGAAAGAAGCAAAGAAACAAGGAGGATTGTCACAAGAGGGAGCTTAAGACCAAAGGAGAAGGAGAAGGAGCTGAAAAGCCCAAGTCATAGGTTTGCATCTCCAGCTGCAACAGCTAAGAAGAGAAGCTTCTGGGACATAACTGTAGCTAATAGTCCTTCGTTAGATAGAAGGAAAACAAGAAGCTATGTTCCTCCTGCTCATCAAGAAGCTCCTTCGATGCTGCTTCAGGTAAACTTAACAACAAAGATGCTATGATCAAAACACTAAAGACAGTGAAGTTGGTTCAACAAGAGACTGTGGACTGCGCACTAATATGTTTGTTTTGTTTTTTTTTGTGCAGCCGGGTTTTGCTCGTCCAAGGACAACAACACACATGAAGCACTAAGGAATTTGAAGACTGATCAGATTCCAATGTTATTTCCTCGTTTTTTTGTTGTCTGTTTTCTCCAATATTTGCTAACATCTGTATTCTGTAGGAACATGACCATAGCACAATTGTTCTCTTTTTACTAATTTTTTTTTTACTATTTTCTTGAATCATGTAGAATGCATATTCATCTTCCATTTGGTTTTGCTTGGTGTTATCTTGAGAAATTTTATGAAATACACCTCTTGATGTGCAAATTTTCAAAACTACACCTATAGTGTGAAAATTTTCAAAAATACACCTTTTCCCAATTTTAATATATATGTTTGGGTTCACTAATCCTATATTAGGGTTTAGATTTTGGGGTTTAGGATTTAGGGTTTAGATTTAAGGGTTCAATGTTAGATTTTAGGGTTTTGGATTTATATTTTAGGGTTTAGAGTTTTTTTACTAAATGAAAAAAGTGTAGTTTTGAAAATTGGCACCATAGAGGTGTATTTTTGAAAATTTAGTTTTGAAATTTCCCTTGTAATCTTTTAAATTTATATAAGCAAATTGCTTCAAACATTTATGTTGAGAAATTCTTTCAGATCACAAATCACAAATACAAATATTGTAAGCTAGGAGGAGTTGCAGACATATTCGTTGAAGAACAACAAAAAATCAACAAACCACATATCGTTTCAGTTATTGGCCCACACAAAAATATGAGTCCGGGTCAGATAGAAACCGATGCGCCAAAAAGCCCAATTATGGCCCAAACTTAACTAGGGTTTTTGCTTCCCTTCATATATAAAGATCGTTATCGTCAAATGATCGTAGGGTTTGCGCCACTTACAAATCTTTTCACACAGAAAGCAAAATGCCGGCGAAGCAGAGGACCCAGAGCAGGAACCCTGACATAGTCAGGGGGATTGGCAAATTTTCGAGGTCGGAGATGTACCACAAGAGAGGTTTGTGGGCTATCAAGGCCAAAAACGGCGGCGTTTTCCCCCGCCACGACGCTAAGTCCAAGGTCCAAGCTCCGGCGGAGAAGCCTGCCAAGTTTTATCCAGCTGAAGACGTCAAGAAGCCCCTCGCCAACAGACGCAAGCCAAAGCCTACCAAGCTTAGGTAATCTGTCTTCTTTGATTGGAATTTAATCTCAAGCTAAATGTTTCTGTCTGCTTACGTACTGATACTTTTTGTTGGATCTGCTGGGAATAAAAGATGAATCTTTGTTATAGATAATCTTCTATGGTTTTTGTAGGATATGTTGAAATGTATGATTGATGGAGATTTGCTTATATAATTCATGCTCTGTAACATTTCCGTATGTTTATACAAGCTATCTGTTTAAATGTCGTGTTATTATTGTCTGAATTTACAGATCCAGCATCACTCCAGGAACAGTGTTGATCATCCTTGCTGGTAGATTCAAGGGCAAGAGAGTTGTCTTCCTCAAGCAACTTTCTTCTGGTTTGCTTTTGGTAACAGGTCAGTTACTACTTATCCTCGATTTGCTTTTGCTTTGGTTGTTCAATTTAAAACATGTTCATAAAGTTTTGTTCTTTGTTGATATTCCTCCTTACAGGACCATTCAAGATCAATGGTGTACCATTGAGACGTGTGAACCAGGCCTACGTGATTGGAACTTCCACAAAGGTCGACATTTCTGGAGTCAACATTGAGAAATTCGATGACAAGTACTTCGGTAAGGTTGCTGAGAAGAAGAACAAGAAATCTGAAGGCGAGTTCTTTGAAGCTGACAAAGAGGTATTATACATTGATAATCACTGCAATGATGTAGTTTAGGAAACTCTAAAGCTTTTGTTTGATCTCTTTTCTTTTTGGTATCTGCAGGAGAAGAAAGAGATCCCAACAGAGAAGAAGGACGACCAGAAAACCGTTGATGCAGCTCTGATCAAAGCCATTGAAGCAGTTGCAGAGCTCAAGACTTACCTTGGCGCCAGGTTCTCATTGAAACAAGGAATGAAACCCCATGAGCTTGTGTTCTAGATTTCTTGTCGTTTTTTCCTCCAAATTTCAAGGATATTTGTGTTCCCTGAGTTTTTTTCTCTTCTTGAATCGTCCCTGGATCTTTAAAGAAACTATTTTCTCTGATTTCTATATATCAATGTTCTATCAATCTATCAAATGGCGATTTCAAACAAAGAAAATGAAAAAAAAAAAACTGATCATGTATTGACTTTTAAACCGAAATAATCAACAGCAGATTTGGCCATAATAGAAGCAAATTCACCAAAGCTAATAACACCATCACCATTCGTATCAGCTTCTTTGATCATCTCCGTTAATTCTTTATACGTCAATGGTTGTCCCATTTTGGCCATGGCTCCTGCCAATTCAGCCGCGCTAATGAATCCATTGCCGTCTCTGTCGAATGACTTGAAAATGCCGAGTAATTGCTCGGAGTTGATTAGGATCTCCTCGTTTAGGTCGGGAAGTATGGCGCCTACGAGCTCGTCGAATTCCACAAAACCGTTGCCGTTCGCGTCCATGCTGGCTAACAACACGTGGATTTGGTCGCCGGAAGGTTTGAGGCCGAGTGACCGGAGAAGCGCCGCGAGTTCTAAGATCGTTAGGCTTCCGTCTGCGTCCATGTCGAACCGATCGAATATGTCTTTTAATTGTCTTATCTGATCTTCCATAATTCTTCGTTTATAAAACACAAAACCAAGATTGATCAAACAATAATGCCGACGACGAGAGAGATTGATGGGATTAGAGATTACGATGATTATTTAGAGGAGATTAAGATTGTTTTTTTTTTTTTTTTTCTTGGTGGAATTAGAATTTAATTTCTGAAGTTGTTTTTGCATGTGTTAGTGTTTGTTTTGGTTGGTTTGGTTTTGTTGATTGTTGCTGATAAAAATAGGAAAAGTAAACCATGTATATTACTTATAAATATGTTTTAATGGTTAGAAGATAAGATTATGCACGTATGATAGATTCAGAATGATTGTTGTGTCGTTAACATGAAGTTGTCCTTTAACAAAAAAAAGTTAGCATGACGTAGATGTTGTCTTAAAATAAAGGAGTTATATACGAAATGGTACGAGTAGTGAAATGTGGTTAACAAAATAAAAAGAGTTTTGAAACATGACATTGTCCTAAGAAACGAAAACATGATTAACTAAAAACAAACAAAACGAGGAATAAATATTAAAACACAAATTAATTAGCGGTGAAGTGATCAGGCACAGTCACTTTTCATAGCCGTCCGATTGTTACGACGAGCACAGCAACCGCAGGAATAGACGGTGATGAGGAGGAGGATGAGACACGCGTTGAAAACTAGAAGATTCCTCCACTTCTCTCTTATGTTCGCTAACACTCCGGCTTTGCACGCGTTGCAGTTGAAACACAACTCCGTTTGCACATTGCTCCACGTACCGCAATCGCCATTGTTGGCCCCAACCGCCGTTTCGTTTTTGGCCGGCGGTATCCAAAACGTCGCGTTTCTGAACACGAAGTTGCAATCTGACGGTGGCTTACAACATCCCGACTGCTCAACACAACCAACAATGTTTTGTTAAATAAAAATATTAACAAACGATCCAAAAAGATTAAAAAAAATAATAATAAAAAAACTGACTCAAACAAAACACGTAAATTAAAAATATATACCTGGATTGGGGACAAGTTCTTGTGATAAAACGCATCGGCGATCTGACTAACACGACCATCACTGAGATCATCACAAACTTTAGCCTCGGCCAAACAAGATCTAATCCCAACCCATCTCTTCCCACCAACAAAACCGTTAAGCCAAGTCGAGAAATCAACCGTCCGATACTCTTTATACCCTCGACCGGAGACCACACGACCGGCTCCTTTGTTGGTCACAAAGAAGAGGAATATCGAGAAACCAATAAGCGCAAAAATGCCTGCAAACAATATGATCAAGTACGAAACCATGGCGAAATTCTCCTTGAAACAAGATCCTATCACTCCGACCAACGACACCACGAAGAGAATGAGTCCGGTCGTGAGGAGTGGTGCACGGATCGCTGACTCACAATCGGTCACGCCTTGATGAGCGAACATGTAGATCGAGTAACCAATGGCTGATGCGCCCACTAACATCACTAGCGTGTTGGCTAGACCCACAACGAAATTGCTCACTCGAAACATTTTTGTGTGATTTTGTTTTTCTCTCTCTGATGAATGGAATTGAATGACCAAATCAGATTTTAAATATATATAGAGAGAGACGCTCAGACAGAAGTTTTGAATTGATAAGTTTGGTCTTGTAACGTTTTTAGTGTGTTTTTAAGTGTGTGGAGTCGTGGGTATTGGGGGAAGAGGTAACGGTTGATTATTTGGGTAGTGGGGAATAAAAGTGGATATTATTAGTCATTGGTTTTAGTGCTTAGTAACTGGTTTATGCCACTAGAGTCAGAGAACGTGTGTGGGGGGTTAAGAAAAGATCCTTTAGTTTAGAGTGAGTAGTTAAAAGTTAAATTAGATTTTGACATTGTCTTATTGCCACGTCACTTACACTATTTAAACGGCTTTTTATTAGGGACAGAGCATGATTATTCCTAAACATAAGAGATTTAAATTACATAAATATTTATAGTACACAACATAAAGTCTTTTGACAAGCAACTTTGATAAACAACATTGCAAACCTTGGAACTCCTGTTATTAGTTATTACCAATCTATGTATGTAGAAACGAAAACACTTTGGTCCGAGCGTGAAAAGCTTTCTTTTCAGGCAAGGACTTTACTTTTTTGCTGAGAAGGGACTTTTGTGGGGGATTTTTCTTTGAAGTCCATCATTTTGTTCAAAGCTCCTACATAAGCTTTGACGCTCGACACCACAATGTCCATTCCTGCTCCGGTTCCACTGCCAAAGACGATACAGCACGTTCAGTGTCGTATAACTTCTACTACTCAAGCAAGAAATCAACAATGCCGGCTAAACTGATCCGGTTTGAATAATATTAGGATTTTACCTGAAGGTCCTTTCAACTTCTTCACCGGTTATTGCATTTGTAGACGTGTAATTGTTGTTTCCGCGGATGAGAACTCGTGTGGTGGCGATGGCATCAATGCCTTCTGTTACTGAGTTCATCGAGTACTCAAGCAGAGTCGTCGGTTCCTTAAGTTGGAAACAAAAAACAGTGTGTTTTAACTTTTAATTGTCTGTATAGATGAGAGAGAGTCTCAGTTGTATGTATATAAGGTTACCTTTACAATAAGGTTGACTGCCTTGTAAGCTGAATCAACAGGCCCAGTTCCCATAGAACAAGCGACATGCTCTACGCCATCAGCTCCAGCAAGTTTAACAGTTGCTGTTGAAAGCCCCAGAGTCCCACAAGTTATCTGCATTGCCACTTTGGGTTGTAAAATGAGAAAATGGCTAAAGAACATGAACAAGCATAAGCAAGAACTTCTTGGTCCCAATTTGCACCTGAATGTCCACGAGTTTCCACACGGCTTCTGGCTGGAAAACTTCATCAGATACTAAAGCTATTATGTCCGCATCGGTAACTCTCTGGATCAGCAAGAAAACGTATACGATCAGGACGCATTACATGAATCCTCAAGAGCAGTAGAATAAATAACATGATAAGTAGAAGAAACTACCTTTTTCTGCTCGGCCACACTTTTGAAACGCCAGAAAATGGTACTTAGCTGTTCATCATCCAATTCATAACCAAGCTGGAAAACATAGAAAAGATGATAGGACGTTAGTGTCTCACACAAAGATGGCAATAACGAGTATGTGTCTGTGTATGGATAAGATTGATGTGTACCTCAGTCAAACGGCCTTTCAGTGCATGACGCCCACTGCGTAATTTTATATCCGAAGCGAAAGCAGAAACCAACAGTTAGACTACAATTTTCAAACACATATGTAGTGTACACTAGCTTACATATGTATATTGTTAAGAAATATGGATGCCTGATATCTTGAGATACTCAACAGGCAAATTATCCACTAACTATAAAGTATATCCACCAATTATTGGATTGGTGTATCTGAACAAGACAGACAAATTTGGAGCATACATGCAAAACAGACCAATCAAGTAAAACTTCCATACCTAAGCTTCCCCAAGACAATGCCAGCATCATGTGATCGTTCAAGCCCAATCTCTTCGGGGCATATAATTTCATATGTACCCTTGTGTTTCAGCATTCCATCCTAAAACAAGAATGAATAGTCATTAAGCGCAACTACGGAAAAAATAAACATGAAGAATGTGCAAGTCAAAAAACTTTAGAGCTTAATTGTTTATCAATTAATCCTGTTCATAGTCAGTCAATAGAGTTGAATTTAAGGAAGGAAACATACGCGTATTAAATTATTAAGCAAAAGGCTACAGTCTACAGGAAAAGTCATACTTATGCAAAGTGGAATAAAAATCAGATAATGAAACAAATGTTTCTCAAAAGAGTATCTTTGTCACAGAAATAATCAAAACACGTATAAGACAGATTCATTTTTTTTTATCAACTGACCTGATGAATACCACTTTCATGCGCAAAGGCATTCGCTCCCACAATAGCCTTATGAGGCTGTGTCTGCATTCCAGTGTACTCTTCAACCTGAGAAAACAAGCCACCAGTTATGAGACACCTTACGATCTACAAACTCTTTAGAAAATTAATATTTGTTTTCACAGTGTGACGAATGAAGTTCAAAACTGTACCATCTTGCTTGTCATAACAATGTGCCGAGTATCAATCCCTGTAAAGAGACCTCCTAATACATGATCTCCACGGCATTTTATGGCCATCACAACCTACAATTACACGAAAAATCACCATGGAAGAATTAAAAATCCCATTGCAGCACAAAAAAAGGATTTTAGTGACGAAAAGGTTCACATAATAATGAAAAAATCAGACCTCTTCCAGTGAAGCGTTTCCAGCTCTTTCACCAATTCCATTGATCGTCACCTCCACCTGCCTCGCACCTGAATGTGCCCCCTGAATTCAAAAAGCTCATCACACATTAGTATTACATTAGCTACGTTGTTCTGATTAAGAAAATGAAAAAGGACATACAGATAAAGTATTGGCCGTAGAGAGTCCAAGATCATTCTGACAATGTGTTGAGATGATAACATTCTCGATCCCTGGAGTATTCGCCTTCAAATCAGCAATCAACTGCCCAAACTCACTAGGCAAAGTTATACCAACAGTATCAGGAATATTAAGTGTTGTTGCTCCAGCTTTTATCACTTCCCCAAGAATCTCGTACAGGAACTCTCTCTCTGATCTACACCACAAAAAAAAAGAAAACAAAACAAAAAGCATTCACAATTATCAGAAAAAGACAAAAGACAGAATCTTCGCCGAGGAATCATAATCAAAGAATCCCAAAAGTACGTAAAAATCGAACCTTCCGGCATCTTCAGGACTAAACTCAACGTCCTCGCATCCCAAGCTCCTAGCGAACTTAACCATATTCCTAGCGATCTCGATGACCTGCGCTTTGCTCTTCTTCAGTTTATACTCCAAGTGGATGTCACTGGTGGCGATGAAAGTGTGGATCCTAGGACGTTTGGCGTATCTCACGGCCTCCCAAGCCCTCTCGATATCTTTCTTATTGCATCTCGAGAGTCCACAGATGACAGGGACATAGCCGTTCTCGTCGACGCTGTTGCCGACGGTTTCAGCTATGGTCTTGACCGCTTCGAAATCGTCCTTGGAGGCGGCGGGGAATCCGGCCTCGATGATGTCGACGCCGAGCTTAGCGAGCTGACGAGCGATGTCGAGCTTCTCCTTGGAGGTGAGGGTGGCTCCGGGAGACTGCTCGCCGTCGCGGAGAGTCGTGTCGAAGACGCGGACGTAGTTGGGATCGGAAATGCGGTTGGGGATGTATTCGGGACGGCGGCTGCGGCGGAGGGAGTGAGGTGGAGGATCTGAGACGGAGCAGGAGAGGCGGAAGGATTCGCCGCGGAGGGAGACGGAACGGTGGCGGCTTGGTGAGAAACGGAATGAGAGAGGTGCGGATTTTGAGGAGAAGGCGGGAAGAGAAGGCTTTCCGGTTGTTGGTGGTGACGAGAGAGTAGTGATTCTTAGAAGCGAAGACGCCATTGAAGAAGAAGGTTCAACGAGTCGGCGGCGGCGGCGAAGTTTATGTCACTCTTCTCTTTATTATATAAGAAGTAAATATTATTATTATTCCCTATGTATTTTATTAGTTTGGATCCACTTGAGAATTTCCACTACCACACCTATATAAACGATAATGACAACGTTGCTCACGTGGAAGATGAATCAAGAGAGATTACCAAACTGCTTATTTAGCATCGGAGTCCGGAGAAGAAGATAATATAAACTATTTCACTGTTATTAAAGATAAGTTTGGTGCTACAACATCAAAATGTGTCACAATGGATAAAACCTAACGACAATTCGGCTTAGTCCTTGCGTCGTCTAAATTGTTATTGGGGATGTAAAGTAGGTAGTGGCACAGATTTGAACTGAGCTTTAACATATCTCATCACCGATCTTATCTACATTGTGTTTTTCTTTTTTTGTTTGCACAGTTTCAATTGCTTGCATTCGTGTGAAGTGGAGGACATGGACCGATCAAATCCAATTGTATTATCTTGGAATGATACAAAGAGTGTTCGGTCTACTTAGCTACAAAACAAAACCGCAAAAATCTAGACCTGAATAGTCGGACCGGAATAAGATCCGGGACGCATGTGAAGCTCATCGGGTGTGTTGATCTGCACAAGCCAAGCGTATTCGTCTTCTTTCCCTTCCACCACCTTACTTACTTCTTCCAATGCTATAAACAAACATCAAATCCAAAAGAGAATAAACCACCGGTTAAACAAAACAGAGTAACATAAATGTTCTTTTGAAGGAAGAGAAGAGAGTGTTTTGCATACCGAAAGTAGAAAACGGATAGTCCATGTAGTAACTGCAACTCCGGCCAGCACTTTCATCGTAAGAAGGTGTGAGAATGTCGAGCACTGCACACGGAGTCAGTGCGGTGAAACAATGGAGATTGCCTCCAGTCTTAGGGTACAACACCGGTATTTCAGACTGTGGCGTTATCACTTTATCGCTAGCCAGTTTCGCCAATCTTGCTGCTACAAAATAGTTGCAAGAGGTCTTAGTACTTTATCAATCACACAAATGAAACCAAGATGTGGAA